GTTTTGAGTCTATCTTAAAAGGTACTTGTTAGGGCTTGCATGTGTCGGGCCCCGAACCTCAAGAGAGGATTTGGGAATGTTTGGGCTTGGACTGCTTTGGTGAGGCTTGGGCTTCAAGGTTGAGGCAAGAGAGGCTTTGGGAAGGTTGGGGCTTGGACTGCTTTGGGGATGCTTGGGCTTTAAGGTTTAGGCAAGAGAGGCTTGGGGCAGGTTTGGGCTTGGACGTTGAGGCAAGAAAGGATTTTGGGATGCTTGGGGCCGTTTTTTTGGCGGGGGATATGTTTCGGCCTGTCGTTATGCACCCCAGCGAGCGCTATAGATATTCCCAACATGGATATTCCCAACCCCACCCCCCCCCCCCCCCCCCCAAGAAAACCCCAGGAAACTCAAGGCGCACGAGAGTGCGTCTTACCTGAAACACGCCTCACCCTCGAATGCCCCGATCGTGTCCGACTGCCAGCCCTTTTAACCACCTTGAACCCTGCATCATCCTACATCCGAAGTTTTTTGTTGCACAAAGCCTGCTTGCACACACAGAGACAGAGCTGGCAACTTGGCCGCGTTGTTGTAGGCGTGCTCTCCCACTTGAGCAGCTGCACAGCTAGAACGGACCGAAGGTGGAGTTTCTTGCAAGCGTTCCAGCTCTTCCCACGATTCTGGCTGTTTAATGTGCCTTCCAAGGCATTTGGGGTTTAAGGGGTTTGGCTACTTTACCAAACTTGCTAGTAGCAGAGCACAGTCACCGCATCTACAATCATCTACCAATGTGGAGCTCGCATGACCTAGTGCCGTCAAGTGTCGCGATAGTTTAAGTATTCAGGGTTTGGGAACTGGAAGTTTGGGCGTTCACCAGAGCTGAGGAAGGATGTAGGTAAGGGGTGGGGTTAAGGTTCAGCACGTATATATCTAACGCGGATACGGGCTTTTCAGTTGGTTGATGGCCTAGGCTTGCTGGCTGAGGGTGTCGGGTTCAGGTTTAAGGATTAGGTGTCATTTCGCAACAGGACAAGTGTGTGCTCGGACCCTACAAACTAAGGACAGTATTCCCGCTCTTGCACGGTCCTTTGCAGCAAAATGCTTTCCAATGCAGTAGACCTGCATTCACAGCCATACAGGCATGAAGTAGTTAACTTGCGCCAGTCGCCCTCCCAGAGCAGCGGCAGTTTTTTCTGGCACGATTGACAGCACTTGTTTTTGGAAGCAGCGCCTCATGGAATTCCCCGGCCGCTGGCCTGCCTGAGAACCGGAATGAGCCGAGAGCCCGGGGATAAGGTGGGGAAACTTTCAAACTTGTCGGGTGGCGGGGTAGTGGGTTGCGGGATCCGGGTTGCACATTGCTGTCCGAATTTGGCTCGGCCCGACAAAAGCCCCAGCTTATAACGCACAATTACACGCGCAAAAACCGTCGCATGTGCGCGTGGGGCTTTGTTTTTGCACGTGGTGGTTTGGGCCCAGCCACCACGTGCCACCGGGCCCTTTCAGCTTTAAGCGGCGCTTGAAGCCCGAATATTTTTATCAGATGCTCCTCCAACCCCCGCTCCTATCCGGAACGAGCCCCAGCTTCAAGATGGTGGGGTGGCTTATAAGGCTTACGCTTGAAGCGCCCCCGCCAAACCCGACCAGAAGCGCTTGGGGTGACTGGGCCCGCAAGACCGCCTCCCCCTTCCGTGCGTTCGAGAACGCGCTTGGTGTTCAGGCCATTTGGGAAGGCGAGCTCTAAACATCCCTAAGCTCAAAACCCTAAACCCTACACCCGAAGCCCTCAGCCCTCAACCCTCAATCCGCAGAGACGCCGCGAGTGGTTGTGTCGTCCATCAGGATTGAGAAAACAGGTGGCTGGGCTTTGCTCCATGGTTGTTGCTGTGCAAGCTTGCATAAAAGCATATGAATCCCTTCCAAACCCATCGTGAGAGCATTGTCTTTGAATTGGGGGGGGGCCCTCCAAACCCGTCGTGCGAGCATTCTATTTGCAAATGAGGGGCTGCGCCCCCCGCAAACCCGCCCACTTTTTCAGCCGTGCAAGCTTGCCTCGGGGCCGTGCAAGCTTGCCTCGAAAAGCGTGTGAATCCCTACCAAACCACCCATCGTGCGACTGACTGACTGACTGACTGACTGACTGACAACCACTCGGATGCGTCATGACGGTCGTGAACAAAAGGAGTCGCATCAGTGGACTCCGAAGGGACCTGCGCTCAAGATTCAGAAGTTCATGTCTTCAGATTTTTCGCGATGTGTTTGTTCTTTTCTGCAAAACTTCAGCTCCCTTGCGCGGCTCCCTTTTCGGGTGTTCCCCCAAAACACTGCAGCTGGTTGAACAAAAATCATGGGTCGGACTTGTTCCGGCTTTGCCAAAACTATCGTCGAAAGTGTGGAGTGCCGCTACAGAGGGCGTTGATAATATCAACGCCGCCTTCAGATCCCAACTTTGGGGTTACATGGAGTTTTAGGATAGGTCTTGGCTGTATTGGTAGAAAATTAATGGTCATGGAGTCCGAAGCTTCGTGGGTTCCAGTTGTGTCGTAGCCCAAAATTGCATTAAACCACGCGACGCCAACCCTTGTGCTGCTGTATGTGCAATTTTCGCAGAGCCAACTGTCCCGGAAGCTCGGTCCCTGGAGGTCAAGCGGCTGCGGCGTGCACTTGCGCGAATTGATTTCTACCGTTCGCGGTGCGCACGCCCTTTCGCACGGCGCCTGTTCCTGACACGCCTCTCAAACCTTACACCGACCTGCAACCCGAGCTAAGAATTACAGGCCATGGCTTTCGATTCGGAAATTTGAAAGAACAAAAGAAAACTGATTAGTCTCAGGCGAGCTAAGGGTTATAAAGTGTCTGCCTTTTTGGTTTGCGATTTGGGGAAATGAAAATATTACACAGATGGAAACTCGGAAAGCTGTCGTCGCAGGCCGCCAGTCAAGTAGACCCTAAACACTAAACCCTGCAGAACCTTTTGATCCTCACTCTGCAGAAGTCGAGGCCCGCGCCGGCATGTCCGCAAGCGACTGTGGGTGCGCAGGCCTCATCGCGGGGGGTGGGTGGGGGGGTTTGTCAAATCCTGACCTCTGTCTACAAGATGAAAAGATTCCTCCTTGATGGGTTTGACCTTCTTTATAGGCGTTCCTACCTCGTTCCCCTGAACTTTCGAAGAAGTGTCGGTGAATGCAGGGAACTTAGCTGAAACTGAACTCTTGTAACTTAGGGAGATGCGCGGTGAAGTTTAAGTGAATTTGGCGACCCGTGGTGAGCCAAGTGATGCCAGGCTCCATGCCCAAACGCCACCAGCACAGCCCCTGCGCAGATGGGAATGGCACGCCGGTTTGGAGCTCAAGGGTGTTGGCTTCAAGGTTGTAAGGCTTTGGGCTTGGGGTGTCTGAGGTCAGTTACACGTCAGCATCTTCCCACATCATTGGGCAAAAGATTCGCTCCTCCACCGACATCATTGTTGAGAGATGCTACGACCCGACCCTCTACCTTCCCCTAGCCTATACCCTGCCCTACCTTAGCGCAGGCTCGCCTATTGGCAAACTGAGGCGATGTCAGCGATTGGGGCCCCGCGTGATTTGCGCATGTCTTGTCGTGGTTCGACAGGCGAAAATGCGAAAACTCGAGGTTCTGCGCACAAGCGCGAATGGATCCGCCGCCGAACGCTTTTTCGTATGGCCAAAATCACCACTGCTACCCTGCTTTCGTGGTCGAACAAAGAAGAACACTGCGCTCAGCTGGATTTTCGACACACGCGAAGTACAAGTGCAATTTCCAAAGCGCTTGTTTCTTCAACACGTTTTTGGCGACAACACGGCGCACAGCGGCATTTTCGACATGGGCCAGGTGCGCTTTTCAGAGTCGTTTCTTTGGCGACATCTCTTCCTTGAGGCCTCTATCTCGCGACAACACTGCGTACAGCGTCTTCTTCGCGACACGCGACGCGTTGAAAAGCTCGTTGCAAAGCACACACACACACCCGCACACACACACACACACACACACACACAAGCACCAAGACACTCAACGCCAAGCCCTAACACCCTAAACCGGCCTGCTTCAAGCTGGTGGCTTGCTCGTGGGCATGCCGGCGAGTAGACTGAAGAGGACAGGGGAAGATGAGCCTGCGATCCACCTCAAGAGGCAGTCAAGCATCTGTTTGGCCTGCACACGTGGCCTACATCAACGAGATCTTCGGGGCGTTCGGGCTTTTAGCAGCCAAGGGCCTCTAAGGATGCATGTCACCCTATAGTTCTTATGACATGGCCTTACTACGCCTACACCTGATCCCCCCCCCCCCGCCTGCACAAGGGTGGTCCAGTCGCTGCCGTGACAAAAGCCCTTCCCACAGGGCGGCTGAGAGCCCAAATCAGGAAGATGTACACATTTTGGAGAATCCATATATCTTTCTTTAAGTAAAATCATTTCGATAATAATTTCCAGGGTGTTGTAATTAACAATTTCTAGTAATCAATCAATGATCTTTGTCCCAATCATGGTCCGTGTCAAAAGAACTAAATTGTATATGATCCTCCCCCTTTGCCGGTTTATGATTATCCTGGACAAAAACTATTAATACACGACTAACCACCCACGAACTTCATTGCATCTTTCGCAGAAGCATCTTCCTGCTGCACTTGGCTGGGGGCATCCAAGATGCTTCCGTGTCAAGCACTACATCCTTTCCACATTGCACGCAATCGGGTGCATCATTGCAGGCAGCTGCCGACCCAAAGCTCACTCACCAGCTGGAAGTCTCCTCGTTCACAAGGGCCCTGCAGCTGAGCCATGTGCATCCGCATGCCTTGCACTCAGCCGCTGCGCCAAACTGATGGTGGTGGATGGCGGCGCGTCTTTGCGTGGCAAGTGCCAGGGAGAGCCCGCGTTTTTCGGCTCGAGAACACCGAAGGTCCATTTGCACACTGTCGGATGCGCAGGAAGTTCAGGTCATTGAAGACAGCCATTTGCGAGGTGCTGGCACATGGCCGCTGGTAGCGAGATGATTGGCGCGACAGACATCAAGTCACAGGAGCCTGACCGGAGCTTTCGATGAGTTGGAGGTTCCTTCTTCCACGACGTTCTCCAAATAATTCGGCCTGCAAGGCACGATGGAAAACGAGGAAAGTGCACATCCAGTGATCTTCTCTATGCGACGCGCAGCAGCATGGCCTCGCCCGCCTTGCCCTTGGCAATTCCGTGGCGGCGTAAGACCTCCACGCTCGACGCACATGTTGAGGCTTTTTTGAGGGCATCCAGCGACTTCCAGCGCAGGCCTTATCAAGTAATTTTAGCTATTCAATGTACTCAAGAGTCGTGTCGTAAGTCGCGAAAAGCCTTGAGCAGGTGATGACGCTGATCCTCCTGGAACGCATCAAAGCCGAAGACATTGGCTGCCAGCTCTTCTGAGGAATCACCTCCAAGAAAAAACACATGCTGAAAGTAATGAAGGTAAAAGCTCAAGCATCAAGGGTGCTGATCGTTGCAATGCCTGGAAAATTCTGCGCGTGAACAGCAAGTTTGACCAAATCACGAGTGGAGTACCTATGTGTGCAGCAAGCCACTGCCGCGCCAACTACAATGCATCCAGTGGGCATACTGGCATTCATGTACTCGGGGCACGGATAAGTCAGTTGCCCAGAGTCTGAGAGCTGTCGCAGGTCCATGAACAGGTTGGACAGAGCGGCAAGCTTTTCCTAAAGCTCATTGCTCAGACTCCCCCAACAACAAACGATTCTAAAAATTCTCAAGATGTGCCTGCACGGCTTTCCGGCATATTGCGCGTGATGCTTGTCACAGAAAGCCCTACCAGTCGCCTGCGGCACTCGTGGCGCAGTTTGCCGGAGGAGCTCCAGCTCGCTCTCCGTGTCCAAGCATTCCACGGCATGACAATCTCAGCATCTCGGGGCTCTTCGGAGCTTAGGGACGGTTTAGGGGGGTGCCTTATGGGATAGCGGCTGAGAACTGCACCAAAGACGTCTCCACAAACCCGGTAGAAGTCATTTCCGAGAAAGGGAAAGCCTGGCCTGGCGATGCACATGGGCGGATATGGCCGGGATTCTGCGCTCTGCGGCATCATCGATGTACCTTGCCTGTTGGCCAGGACGATCATCCGAAAGCCATCCGCAATTGGAAGGAACCTCAAACCCGCAATATGGCAGAATGGGACATGCCGAAACACAACAGCAATGACTGCAGCAGCAGCAGCAGCAGCAGCAGCAGCAGCAGCAGCAGCACCAGCCCAAAAAGAACCAAAACCATTGTAATAACCAGCGAAAGCATTGGGTATTCAAGCGTGGAGGGTGGGGTGTGCGGCCAATCGCGGGGAAGGACACGCGTCACGACGCTGGAGACGCTTTTCCGATCATCTCTGTTCTGAGCAACTCGACTCAGAAGGACGGGGCGGTAGTGGGCTGGCGGGTCCAAAGCTACCTGGACCTCCCCAGTGCAGAATTCGTGGCCATACGGAGCGGCGCTTGGCTGGGCTTCAGCCAGAGGGTTGGGAGGGAAGGAGCAGCAAGCTCTTGTCGTCCACAAAAATGTTTGTCAGCCTCATGCATGCACACAACTAAACTTAGGTGTCGGAATGCAGCTGACTTAGAAAAAGACAGTTAAGACAGTTTAGGAACGTAGTCCTCACCACTGACTTCAAATCAAGCTGGCATTCAGGAGTTTATGTGGTGTGCACTGCTCTCCTCAGCTTCACGAGGGGGTCATCCGGGCTTCCCGCTCATTCTCGCCAGCAGATGCAAGCCTCGAGTCGCTCGAGCCTGACACCCGCATCGAGCCAAGCCGAGCTGGAGACTCGAGTTCAAACACGAAGCGCTGCAGCGAGGTGATGCAAGGCGAGCACGCACCAAGGTATGGCCGTCTGGAAGCGATAGCCTCAGCTCTGGAGCAGCAAGGAGCTCAGGAGGGTTGGTAGAAGCAAATGCTCTCCACATGAGGATGCGATGAGGAATCACCAACGAGCCTCAGCGCATCATTTTCCAGAGCTTTGCCAGAGTTCAAGCTGTCCCTTCAAAGCTCCCAGTGAATTTAACCACTTTGGGGTAACTCCTCAGCTACCACAGAACAAGTTGAACAAGTCATGAAACTGCATTGTCCTGGTTGGGTTCCACTGCAGCATCCCCCGCTTTTGCAGGGCTGTCAGCTGCCTCCCTGCTCTCTCTGCTCTCAAGGCTGCTACAGCTGCCCGGCAAGTCTTTGGCTGAGCTTGACATCATGCTACTGGCTGCATCCACATACAAGACAGTATTTCGTTCATGGGCTTTCCAGAAATGATCTACATAAAAGCGCCCTCCATTGTGGAAGAAGATGACGAGAGCCAAGAGGGTCGCAACAACTTGCAAAGGGAAAGGAATCCAGATGAAGCCCACACCAGAAAGAAACAGAGTCTGATGACCAAGCATGAAGATCGTGCCGGAGTGTGGTCTTAGCAAGTTTGGAAGCATGTCCTTGAAGCCAAGCTTGTCCGCAAAGTATCCGTACAAGGTATCTCGCTGCTTTCGTTCTATGCGTTTCTTCGCGAAGCCGAAAATCACAGAGGAATAGACCAACGCCCAAAGCATGTAGACGGACCACGCCTGCCAGAAGCGCACAAACCACTTTTCTGCACGTCCCTGGGCCATGCCCACACACTTGCTGCCTTCGCAGCTCCAGTTCACGCTCAGGACGAGTAGTACTTGCGGAATGTGCACATAAGCGTTGGAGATTCGAGCAAAGTCGTGCGGGACACACGAGTTTCTGAAAGCCACCACAGAGATGGCGAGCAAGCCGCAGAATGACTCAATGGCATTAAACAAGTAGCCAGAAGTAGGGAATACCCAGAGCCACAGCACAGTGCAGAAGTTCGCAAAGAAGCAGAAGTCCAGCAAGAAGTAATGTTGCGCAGTGAATCTGTAATCGCATGCCTTGGCACCCATCACTACAGCCATCTGCGCGGTGTAGTAGAGATAGAACGTATGGGGGGAAGCTCCCAGCCAAAAGGCTGTCACTACGAAGTCCATCTGTACTAGGGCAAACACCCACTTGTGTCGCCAGGCACGAGAGCGTCCGCTTTGCAGCTTTCTTGCCATCTGTTTGCTTCGATAAACAATGCGCTCCTGTTGCTGCATGAACTCCTTCCGGATACCCCGAGCAATCTTGCTCTGTGCCAAGTTCTGCGCTAAGTCACGGCGGCGGCGTTTGAACAGCTCCTGCTTCTGTCGAAAATCCAACACAAGCTTCTCCACTCGGCGAGAAAGCTGATGCTTCTGCTCGTGGCCACGCAGCACTCGGCCGTTCACGGTGTCCAAGTCACCGTAGTCAGAGTCATGGTCAGACCTGTACAAGTGCTCTTCACCTGAAGACTCCTCAATCTCGGTGTGGTCTGTGGACAGTGTTCTCCCCAGCCCAGACTTTTCCTCTTCTGAATCCTCTTCGGCTTTGAGGACATTCCTCCTCTGTCTCAGCACACTGTTCTGAACACTTTCCTCCGACAGAACCTGTACCATGGTCAGTGTCAGAGCTTGTCACCCTAGGCGGAAAGATGCTGAGAGTCTGAAGCATGACTTGATTCGATGTATCTTGACGCGATGCGGAGATAAGGCCACACGGTTTACAGTGTCAAGCGATGCTTCGGTCCCTGGTATGAGCTCTGAGAGCCGGCACTTGCTCTCCACAGAATTGTATGCAAAGGTGCATCCGAGCCATGCGCGGAAGATGTAAACAAGCTTTGGGGCCTCTTTGCACAACTTGCTCTGCCCTTTTATACGACTAAGAGCGCGACTCGCCATCCTCTGCCAGGGCCTGTGCCAAGGCTTAGATGGCCGGCTAGTCTTCTGGCTTGCTGTGAAGTCTTCTACCAGCTGCGGCCCAGTAAGTTGTGGTAGGCTGAAAGTGCCTTCAGCACGCAGACCACCTCGACAACACAGCATCTACTGCCCACACACGACATAAGAGCAGCAAAGCTTCAACACACGACATAAGAGCAGTAAAGCTTCATGTCGGGCCTCCAAAGGAGCCTTGTCAGCCTCGTCCACCTTGGCACGTCTGCCCGTCTGCCACTTGCCGAAGCCTTGCCAATGCCTTGCCAAAGCCTTGCCATGCCCTGTCACATCCACTGAACTGAGTCTGCCAGCCACCAAGCATCTCCCTGCGCGGGCGGCACGTATGAGTGCCGAATCCTGCCAACCAACCACACCAGCCTGGCACTCAGGTTATATGCATCTCTTGAGGCTCACTGAAGTCACTGCCTCCAGTGTGGGGGTCAAGGTCAAGCTCTGTACGGTTGTGTCGCGGTGGAGTTGGACCTTGAATCACATTGTGACATGGCGCTCAGACAAACATTCTAATGATTCTAATGGGCTGCCCAAAAACAGAGAAGCAGCAGCTGTGTGCTCGAAGTTTTGAGTGCTTTGTGGTCCATGTTAGAAGGTGGGCGGTGGGCGCGAGCGGGGTTGCCCAGAATAGCCGTGGAAATCCGAGCTTTGAGGTGGCCGCGACACTCAAGCAATTTAGACCGATAATGTGATGACCCTGAAGTCCGCGGCGTACTCCCGCTCGCAATGAAGAAGGCCGAGCAAATGGTCTGCAAGCTTGTTCTTTCCCACCTGACTCGCCACTGCAGATTCACACACAAGATTCTGCTCAAGTCAAACGCAACAGCCCATCGAGCCCAGCGACCCCCTGGTTTCCAACCAGCAGAAGATGCCTTTCCGTGCATCACACAATCTGCATCTCAACATATCTCAGCATCTGCACATCGCCGATCAGACTCGGTGTCGCACTGCCCCGCCGTCCAACTCACCAGCATGCTCTGCCTCAGTGCCAAAAACGAAGCCAGTCCGTAGGATTCCGCGGGTGCCAGGAGGTTGGCCGAGGCCAGGGCAACACAGCCATGTGGGCTGGGGTCTCGATAAAATGGACCTCCAAACAATTGGCAAACGCTGAGAGGATCCACTCGTGGGGCCAGAAGAGAAACTCCGCGCTGCGGCTGCCAAACTGCGCCTTCGGCACAAGTTCTGGTCGGACTGGCGTGCGTAGTCGACAGCGCACGCCGCCCACTTGCAACCTGGACTGCCACGCCGCCCTACACCTCAATATCCCTAACTATAAACTCGATATACATTAGTATTCTGCGTGTGTATATATGTATGCGTATATATATATATATTTATTTATTTATTTATTTATTTATTTATATATATATATATATTTATTTATTTTTAAAGATAAGTATGTGTAAGGCGCATGCTCTCCCGCTTCTTCAGAAGCCGTCAGGTCGGTCTCGCGCGGCGCAGGACGGATGATCCCTGCCTGATGCGCAGTTGAACATCACGTGGCACATGGTTGCGTCAAAAGCAAGATGCCCAAAAAAGAACTATCACCCCACTACTAAACGCTTCGACGTTGAATCTGAAAAGTGTTTGGGTCACCATCACTACTACAACGTTGAGAATGTCCTCGCCATATCTGGGGCATCATGGTCGCCATCACCGGCTGCATCGAGCAACAGCGCCTTCATCATCGGCAACGTCGCCGTCGCAATGAAAGTCCTACTGTAGTCGTCGTGGTCATCATCATCATCATCATCAACGTCATCATCACCATCATGTTGGGATATGTCGCCAGATCTTGATTGTCGGTCGGAGGACATGCACTCGACATGTCGTTCGTCATGGTGTTTAAACAACACAATCACCCCTGGTGAGGGCGTTTCACGTCACGCTATTGTTCAAAAAACTGAGCCTCGCCTGCCCATAGCAACTCTTTTCGAAGAGTAGGCGGAAAACTCACTGTTCAGCCTTTGGGCTTCAGGTTTTGGAATCCTGGCTTAAGGGTTTAGGGGCAATTTTTTTGCCGTCGTCAACTTTCAGCGCACGGATGCACTAGCCGACGAACTCGCAGTCGACGTCTTGATCACAGCAGGTTCGAAAGTGCGATTCGGAGGGTCGACCCAGAAAGCCTGCATTTCAGCAACAACAAGACTTTTCAGCAGCCGCAACCCGCGACAGCAACCAAAACGACAACGACAACTCCGACCGCCACGACACAGCCTGACCACAGACGCTGACTGCCCCAATAGCCCAACAGCTTCTCGGCCCACCTCCGCCAGCATCTTCTCACCTGAGGAGATGGGGGAGTCGCTGAGGCACCAGGGGCAAAGAAGCTCGACCCAATGGAATCTGCTCAGCTTCTCACCAAGCAGCCGCTGAGGGCCTGGTAGCAACGCAAAGCGCGCGGAGAACGCCCGGGCCTAAATCTCTGCTTGCAGTCAATGACTCTGACTCACTGTTGCTTCTCTTGTGACAATTTTCCTTAGTATCTGCTGCCAAGGCTGCGACCATGGCACCTGCTGTATCCTCCGGTCTGAGGGACAGATGCCTGGAAAGGCTCAAACTGAAAGCAACCCATGCAGCATCATGCTGCGAGCACCGTGGTGTGCCGTGAAAGCCTGGAGGCTCGGAGGAGTGCACGAAGGCCTCAGATACCCATATGCCAAGATGCTCAAAGGAAGACAGACTCCTAAACAATCCCAGCTCAAGGAGCAACACAAAGTGAAGCCTTGTGACTACTCAGACCACGGCTTAGTTGGAGAGGCTTCAGATCTGCATCCTTCGAGACTGCAGCTTTGGCAGCTTCACCTGTGCATAACACATCTGCTCAACATCTTCCGCCCGCTGACACGGCTGACACCTGAACTGGCTGGCTTTACATTTACACATAAGGTTCGAGTGCTCTGAGTATGTAGAGGCTCGGTCAGGATTCCTGAGACTTAAGCTGTAAGAAAGCAGCTGGTCGATGGGCTTGTCCTGGCGACATAAGCTTCCACGGGAAGTCCTACCTTTGGCAGAGGGAGCAGCTCCTTCACTTTGGAGGCCACAACGCCAGCACATCGAGCCGCCAAGCTTCGCCTGCAGAGCAGACTTTATTGCGGAACATCGGGTTTAGTGGCTGCACTCGAATAGATACCCATACCGAGGGTTCGGCTGCTCGTGGCTGGGCAAAGCTGTGATCGCATGGAAGTGGAAAAGAGTCGAGACCTGCCCAGTCTAATGCTTTGGTGTGAGTCTAAGGGTTTCTGAAGTGTTTTGGTTGGTGAGGCTCTGTGATGGGACTTGGCCTCCTCGTCTATCCAGGCTTGTGATGTCCCTGACCTCGGAGAATACAGAGCACAACACAGCCGGCCTCGCAAGGTCGTTCTCAAGGTCCCGACTCGGGACTCTCCCCACAGGCAATGAGCCGAAAGGCCGGATGCACCTGGAGCACGAAGCCGCGAAAGAGCAAGGCTGCGCTGGGCACGGCGAGCCTGGCGCACGCCCAAGCCTGCCAGGTTGCCGCCTAAGTTCACGCAACCCAGGATCGATGCCACATTGTGAGAAGCCCACCCGTAAAGTAGGCGCACCCTCTGACCTCGTCTCCCAGAAGTGCGGAGAGCAGAGGAGCCTGATTGCATCAGTGTGCCCATGTCTGGGTCGAAGCTACAGCAGCAGAAAGCTCTGCTTGGAAGTGGGCGTTCCGTCAGGAAGAGCGCATGCTCTGTCAGAAAGCAGTGGTGCCAATGTGGCATAGAGGCTGCCCTGCAAGACGTCGAGCAATGAGTGGAGCCATGGAACGTGCAGTCAACTACTCCAAAATTCCGCCGCCTTGGCCAAGCGATGAGCACCATCGAGAATAGCCAGGTCGCCACAAAGAGCTGCCTGCATCACACTGCATCACGAAAAGGCACAAAAAGGCACAAAAGGCATAATTAAAGGTCACGACCACGAGTCCATGAGCTGTTCACCTCGACGATCGGAGAGTCCCTCCACTTTGTGTTGCCGGCCGGGTCTGTCCTGAGCTCGAAAGGTTCCGCTCCCGCACTTCTTGCGTCTTCCCTCTTATACTCCCTCTACTGCCCAGGCCGCCCACACGCGACGCTGCAGGAGGTCCCGGGAGCTCATGTCCCGGTAGCAGAACAGGCTACGCGTCCTCACCAAGGCCAAAGAGTCGTGAACCGTCCTGTTTCGGATGCAAGCACATTGAAATTGTGTCTTACCCCTCGCCTGTAGCCAAGCAAGGAGGCAAAAGCCCGAACCTGAACCAACCGCAGCACAACAGGATGTTTCGTCGGGAGCCCAATGAAAAGCTTGATAGCTCGTGGAGCCAATGGCAAGAATCAAGCTATGTCTCCAAACGATTGCAGACTTGCCGGAGCCCTTGTCGCCCACCAAAGCCAAGTCCTGCAAATCCGACTTCTGTCCGGCTGCACAAGCAGACAAAGCATCCGAAGTAGACCACACGATTGGCGCTAGAGTGCAGCCGGTGCAGGGAGAGGTTCAGATGATCCAATCATTAAAGGGAGCATGTCATGGAATGTCTTTAAAACAAACCAAGGCAACTGGCATGACATGACAACTTCCGGTCCGCCCCGGCAGAGTGATCTGCGAGCAAGTCCGAAAGCAGGGAAGCCTGGGACCTCAGAGGAAACCAACCGGACATGCCTGAGCAGGGCCCATTAAGTTCTTTGAGGGCGCTGCGGGGTCAGGATGAGGCCCTCTATCAGCCTGCAAGAGTCCAAGATCAAACATTCTGCACCTCCAGCCTGGGACCGATGCAGAGCCATAGCATACACATTCTGGTACATCATGCATCAGGCACAGAACTGCGAGCATTTTTTTTGTGCTGCTATCCCGCCGGTGTAATTGCGTTTCCCGGTCTGGCCGCAAGCCTTCAGCTATGTTTCACCGAGACAGCGGGAACCCATCGCTTGCAGATCTTGGCTTGCAGATCTTGCCACCCTGCCCAGATTCAGACGTCAGCTCAGGTCGACTGTAGGAGGCTCCGCCTGCAGAACATTTCTGCACATTCGCACCTGGTTGAAGAATGCTTGCTACACTCAAAGCTGCGGTGAGCTAAGGCCATGGCCGACGAGCAAACGAAGTCGATCTGCTGCTGGGAGTACGAAAGATTTCCTCACGTCAGCATGGGGCATCACGGGATGCTCCTACCTCGTCAGCATACCATACTGTTCGGAACTTGTGGCATGAACTGCAGAAGAGGCTTCCGTAAGAGAATGGTGACGAACACCAGCAGTGTTCGTCAGCATCGCGAACTCGAACCTTTGGGACCAAACAAGCATCATGAATGAGCAGAAACGTACCTGGAGACACCTAACTGTTGTGACTGCTGAAATAACTAGTGCTCTCCAGCCTGTGCCGGCATCCGCTGGCAGCAATCGCGGGCCGACAAAACATCACAGGACCTCAAGTCGTCCGAAGACTGCTGCGCAGTAGGTGTTGTCAAGAAGCCGAAACACTTCAGACAGGCCACTGGACGATTTGGCCACATTTCGCATCAATGTCCTCAAGGGCAGCCCCACAACATCACGAACTGCCACATTCGAGGTTTTGCAGCGTGACCTTCTGGGTTTTGAATGTCCCGGCTGGAGACGGGCCGGCGCAGAAGCAGCGCTTTCCTCCTGAGTTGCACGATTTGCACGGCTTTTCCAAAGCTCCCGAAGAGGGGACAGCTGGTACAGTCCAACTATGTGCATCGGAGCCGCGACCTTCCTGTATCCGAGCAGGTTCAGACCTGACAACTCTCCTTGCCCTCACCCTCGTATGGTCTTGTCTTCTGCAAGCATCAGCACTATCTGGAGGCGGGGAAACCATCAGAAAGCAGACTCAGGTCTTGGCAGGCAGCATTGCGCCTGCAGTCAGAGCATGAGCTGCAAATGCGTGTAACATGAGCTCGTCTCACGCTCTCTTGATGGCGCTTTCAATCGCAGATCCAGCGCTGACAGTGCTGGCGGTGTGTCCGGACAACCCTGTCAAAATCTCTTCCAGCAGCAGCAGCAGCAGCAGCAGCAGCAGGAGCAGGAGGAGGGGCCACAGAAATATCAACCGCAACCACCAGGCCAACTCCACTGGCAGAGCCGCCCTTAACTCATAGAACGAGAGTTTGTTCTCCTTTTGAAGTCATCGTCCGCAGATGTCCGCATTTAGCTCTATTATGGGGTGCCACCTGCTGCTGCCGCTGCTGTTGCCACATGTTGCCACAGGGCCAGAGCTGTCTCTTTACGACTATGCGCTACCATCACCTGAAGATGCTGCTGCTGCCACTGCCGCTGACGCTGCGGCTGACGCTCCCGCTGCGATGTCGCTGCTGCCGGCAACTGCAGCAGTTGCTGCTGCAGCTGCCGCCGCCGCCGCAGCTGCCGCTGCCGCCGTGGTTGTGTTGTATTCAATATTGTTCTTACCGCCTTCCTCCTCGCCTCTCAAACTCGTGTCGGCTATTGAGGGGCGGGTCCGCTTTGGCGTTGGTATTGTGGTTGATCCACCTCTCGAAGTTTCCGCCTCTTGAGCCATCCACGTATTGTCACACGAGCCTCCACCCTAAGAGGGTGGATTCATGGTCCCTCATTATGGGCCCTTCATTGGGAAACCCGTATATACCCCTTATTTTATTTACCCAAAAAAACCCAAGGGCCCATTCAGAACCCTTTAAAGAAGTAAGGGACCAGATTACAGGACCATGGAACTTCCCTTAAACACCGACACACCATCACACCTGCCCAACGTGACTTCGCAGAGCCTCCTGAATCGGACTGCACGGCGACCAGAGCCGCCCACATGCCGCGTCAATCGCCTCTTCAAGATCATGAGCGGTTCAAATATCTGCTCCGTTTAATCAGACATCGCATCGAGCAATATGAGCAATGGCAAGTGGAAGCCTCCTGCTCTGTGAAGCGGCTGTCCTCTCAGGCACGTATGGAGAAAGGCTACTGTATGCACACTTCTGACAGCACAGCAGAACTCAAAGACTCGAAGGTCCTTCAGAGGGCCTGTGCAGGTGCACATCTTTGTCGAGCCCTCTCCAACACCAGTCTGCTCTCCTTGGCATGGTCAAGGAAGTGAAGGATCAAGCAACACGATGTCAGCGAGTCAGCGAATGGCATGAGCATGCGACTCTGCCGCCACGTAACCATTATCATCCCCGACAAGATATTTGTTCGGAGACATTTTGCAGCAATCTTCCTGCAAAGCTGACATAACCGTACTGCAACTGAAACCAAAACGGTGTGAGGAATCTGCTCGCATGTGCCGCATGTGCATACTACGCTCATACTGCCTGCCGCATCTGCTCACAGGGACGCACCACAAGCGCACCTTTGGCGGTCTCGAGTCTAGCGTGAGGGTTCCCTGCTTTCAATCCCTCGGACTCATAAAACCTGCCAAGCTGCAATGAGCATCAATTGCCTCTGCATGCAAACATGACTTTTTTCTGTAATGACAAAAGGCTGTGCGAGATGCAAATGACACAGTGCATCCAAATACTGGCCTGCTGCGAGGAGAATCGCGCCCCTGCAACAGTGGCATCCGCGCAGAAGCACCTGGGACTGTGCGAAAGAACGGTTTCGAAAAACCTCAGTGGCAATAATCGTGCCTGTTGTCTCTTTGTGATGCTTTCCATTTCTTTGGCGACATTGCACAGCAGGCAGCCTCAGACACCTGCGAAGCGAGTGAACAGCACAGCACGCCGTCCAAATTCCCGACTACGGATAACGACTTCGACCCCACATTTGTGCCACAGTTCGAACCTCCTCACATGTCAGGTTTGACAGCCAAGCAGTGGTAGTGGTTGTGGTCTTTGCGAGGGTCGTCGTAGTGGTTGTTGGGAGAACCTTCTGACACCTCACACGCAAAGAATCAAACCTGGGACCTAGGACATGTGAGGACCGTCGGACATGCCCTCTCCCTTCGCTTCACTCTGCCAGGGCGCCAGTCATCTACGGCAACTTGCGAAGAGAAGGCTTCACCAACAACCTGTGCGAATGCTTTGTGCGACGGGGTTGTGTCGAGGAACGCACTGTGAGTCCACACTCGTTTTGAGTTCACCAGGTCCCTGGCTGGACCGCTACACCAGCACCTGGGGGGCAATTGCCCTCACGTCATCAAAGGATGTGGGCAGAAGTGGCCAACTGTGTGCAGGCTTGCAACTATGCACATTGAAGTCTTACAACAACCTCGACATCAGGTCATTAAATCCTGGCTGATGCCAAGCAAATCTGCCTGGCAATTTCCACCCTTCTATGTGTCTTTGCCTGACATCCAACAAGGATATGGCTCCAAAAAAGCACCAGGCCATCTGTGAGCATGGAACACTGAGACATTTCAATGAAGGTATCGCTTTTGGGATTGGGTATCGCTTTCTCAAGCACAACGATGATATCCGGGGGAGGCTTGCTTTTGGGGTTAGGTATCGCTTCCACAGCAATTTTTTGCTACGTCCCGCCCAAAGCTACCTAGAAGGTCGCGGGATTTAGCCAACCACTCATGTGGGCATCATGACAGTCTTCGTACACCCAAGTGAGAGGCAGCCAGTACTGGGTCTCGGCTGCTACGCACATGTCAGCAATGCTAGTCCATGCATGAGTCGTCTCATGTGAGTTCACACAACTTGCGGTCTGGCCAGTGTATACCCTCCTTCCTACTCTGGGTTGAGGGAGCCTTGCACGGCATGAAACACGGCCGCCGCTCCCTGTTCATTGTCTTGAAACACTTGTTTTGAGGATATGTATTGACAAGGAACGATTTGAGGACAAGTTCCTTCCGCAGACAGAACAACAACACCTGCCGAAAAATATCCCCTCCTTCTTTTCTTTATGCTTCTACAGAGCGGACACGGCGACACAGGGGAGGCAGCGCCGCCATCATGCCAGAAGCCACGGGAACAGCGATCGCGCTCTGAGATCTGGGCTGGTTCTTGCCATCATTGTAGCCTGGGTAGCACTGGACACAAGGGTTTAGGGTCTAGGGTTTTTGGTTTAGGTTTTAGGGTTTAGGGTTTAGGGTTTAGGGTTTAGGGTTTAGGGTTTAGGGTTTAGGGTTTAGGGTTTAGGGTTTAGGGTTTAGGGTTTAGGGTTTAGGGTTTAGGGTTTAGGGTTTAGGGTTTAGGGTTTAGGGGATTCGCAAATCCAAACAAGAACCAGGGCTCACACGGCCCAATGAGCTGGAAGGGAGAAGACATGCTGAGATCCGGGCGGACTTGCTTCGGTGACATGGTGCAGCAGCGAGCACGTGGCACCAAAGAACAAGGTTTCACCACCTCGTCTGCTTTTTTGTGCGCTCTTGAATGCAAGGGGAATTCTCAAGTTCCTGAACGGCGCCCGCAACAAGCACCTCCTTGCATGCGGTGTCTATGAGCTCCTGGGTGTGAAAGGGCCCACCTCATCAGACATCTGAAAATCACCTTCAACCGAAGAACTTAGCAAGCGCGCTCCCCACCTTTCTGAGGGCCACTGCACCAGCACTTGTCCCCAAATCCCTGCGACAAGGCATACTTTGGACTTGGAGTCTAGAGCACGAACCACGTCCAGCTCACGGGCTGGAGCCTGCCGGATCTGCTTTGGCTGCATGTGGCCTCATCGGCTGAATACCGCAGCAGGATCCGGGAGAGGACGACAGTGCAAGAAAAAAATCGCGGGCAAGTGACAGCAGTGCCCTTCTGACAGAGATGCGCATGGCCGAACGACCGAGCTGCACCATTCCTTATCGTCACACAGTGCATGCAAAGTAGAATCTGACTAGGCTGACGCCTACAATAGTGCCCAGTCTAGACTTGGCAAAGCTTCATCTATGGATTCCTGCGTGCTGTGGGCGCTGTCGTTCTGAGGACCACCTGAGATGACAGCTGTAGAAGATGAAAACCGTTGGTACCACTTTGAAGAAGAAGGGTGCTGAGAGGGTGGAAGCGCTTTGCTTCGAAATCCAAGAGGCTGCACCAACAATGGCCCTGACCATCCTTAGCTGGAGTCTACTGCAGTCTGCTGCCTCGGGGAAGCCTGGCAAGCACCCCTTGCTCCATTTCCCCGCTGTATCGCTGTGCTGTGGCGGTGAGTCGCGTGGGCCAAATGGGCCAAGGAGCGTGATTCCGGACTCGCTTCGGCATCAAGTCGCAGCAGGTGACATGAGAGAGCTGATCACCTGGAAGGATGTCTTCTAGCTGAGCATGTCAGTGCAAAAGTTCTAATTCTGCTGAGCGACATGGCTGCGCCACCTGCGTGCAGTGAGCTTGCAGGTGGCCACGAATGGCATTGCATCATGACAGCTACTCTTGCCATGGACGAGCCTCACTACAGTATTGGTCTATGGCCGCTTGCGTGGTGAACTTGCCACCTCGAATCACGCTGGTGGAGGCAGCCGAGGAGACATTCCGTAAGAAGATAAGGGCACCAAAAGCGCATCCAACGTCCCGCAAACACATGGCGCGCCCATGGTAAGCCATGGACTTTCCTCAGGGCCTCCGCACGCACACTTGTCACCGCCTGTGTCTAGTCGAATTTTCTTCGGAGACCTGCAGCAACAAACGTTGCGGCGCCTGAATGTCTTTCACGGCACACCAACCGAGCCCCGGGCAATCCGCAGCAAAAGCCAGAGGGCATGTCACTACCTTGCTTGCTCAGCTTCACATTGCAGAGCTGACAGAGCATGGACCCGAGCGGGGCTCATTCGACGCTCTATGTCGAGATCCAAGTTACACTGCAGACCAGTCGTGTTTGGAGCCAGCAAGTGCGCCTCTTCTGACGAAGCCTTGGATGGCATGACTTTCTGTAGTAGTATTTATATGTGTACATCTAGTGTGTGTGTGTGTGTGTGCATATATTCTTATGAACAATGACGAAACAAAATACAAACAAGTATATGGACAAATTAACAATTAGCCGATCTGCAGCTAATCATATTTTGGTATATCAATAGCCGCATTCACTGTACTATATTTAGCGGGCAAAGTACTCGTTGGTACAATAATTGTCCTAGTAATATTGTGCTCTCTTCGTATTACCATTATAATAATGAACCGCCTAACAATGTACTCTGATGGGGCGGTTATAATGCTTTGACTTTTGTATCTTGACTTTGAGGCACGAGCAACCTTGACTTTGACACAGGATAAAGTTTGGAATGGGAAATGGTTCTGAAACCTGCAAGCCAAACCCTGAAAAACTCAAGCAAAAAAACACAAGGCCTAAACCCTAAAACTCTAAACCCTTACCCCCAAGACGTGAAACCCTACAACCTGTAACCCGAAAGCCCTAAACCCCTAAACCCCAAAACCCTACTTGTAAAACCCCAAATTTCCATAACCCAAAAACCCCAAAACACCGAAACCCTAAACCGCCAAACCCTAAACCCGGCATCCTAAACCCCAACCACCACGGGGGGACCACGAGGGGCCCTCTCCCTTCAATGATTTTTGACAATTCGGCCCCCGAATTCATTTAGCGGCGCTGTGATTGCCTAGCTCTTTTTTGCCTTCACAAACCCCTAACCCAGGGCCCCCTCCACCCCCACCCCCCTCCCCCTCGGTTTAGGGTTTTTTTCTGGGTTTTGGTGGTTTTGGGCTTAGGGTTGAGCGCAGTCTTTATATTTTTGGGGCGGCCGGGGGGGGGGGGGAGCGGCGAGAATGCACAGCTCGGAACCATGTATATGCGTATGTATGTATATATATATATATGTATAGATATGTGTGTATAAAAGAAATGACAGCCATCGACAGTATATAAATGTGAGTATACATGGAACGTCCGCTTCAACGATCCCCCTGACCTCATGGGCTCGCTCCCTGAATCTTCTGCGCTACGGAGCATCGCGCTCTTCAGCATCTGTCACCCTGCTCCTTCTCTCCGAAGGCATCAGGCCTGGGTCAGTGCTGACAACTGTCGAAACGAAACTATTGAAACATCTTCGGACATTGACGATCAGCTGGCAGATCTCTTGGGCCCGCCTTCTTCGGCCAAGGCGAACTGTGCATCACCTACTCGGCTACAAAAGCATCAAGAATCAGAATCGGACCGGAGAAAACAGCCACAGATGCCACAGCTCACGAAGCCTGAAATCTCCAATGCTCCTGCATCTTTCCTTTGTGTCCTCTCCATGCAGGGCGAACGCGTGCTCCGCAACAGCACGTGCAAGCTGTCAAGATGCTTCGGTCCTCATGACACGGCTTGGGCGTTGGACATCTTCCCACGTGGTATCGGCAGCAGCGCGGTTCAGAAGAAGGGCGCATATGGAAAGCCATAATCTTGGTGCGCGGCGACACATCTGCGCCGATCGCATCACCACATGTTTGAACATCGCTTGTGCAATCAAGGTGCGGCATCGCTGACTGTATTTCCCAGGCCTGACATCTGGAACTCAAGCAAGCGCCCGGGTGCAGCTTAGGCTGAAAGCAGCCAACTCAGCCAAGATACCAAGAAGCAGCGAGTAGAGTGACCTTGCGCACTGCAGCTATAGGGCTATAACTACTACACCGCCATGCTGCCGGTGTCGGGTTTATGAGCCACCAAACGCTGCAAACTGAATCTTTTGCCAAGCAGCTCCTCCGGAGCCTCCCATGGTCACCGCGCCATGCTCGTTGCTCGAGCCCATAGGGGCGAAAGAACAACGCGCAGTGCGTCAGCTTCATGCATTTTGGGCGCCTGCTTTGTTTAGGATTGCAAACTTGTATGAAGGGCAACTATGAGGCTTTAGCCATGGGCCTGGACAGAGCTCCCACCGGTCGGGGAATCGGATTACTTCCCTGCAGCTTCTTGAGGTGGTCCTGGTGGGCCGGACTCATGCTTAGATAAGCATGAACCCTCGCATCCTTGACATCTGATTTCTGCCGGCAAGTGGTCTGGACATGTCTGGACGTGAAAACCGGTATGTGCCTCTTGCCCCACTTGCCCCCTGTCTGCCCTGCAAACCCCGATTATCCTGGTGCAAGCACTGCCGGCTTGGGGCAAAGCAACCGGGGTTGGACAAGAGCCCCCTCTCCCCTCCCTCCCGGCAAGTGGGGCAAGCGGCACAAGTGGGGAATGTATGGCATGTGCAGGCAGACTTACGCTCGCCAGCTGCCCCCTGGCCGGCCCTTCCTTCCCTTCCCTCACCTCTTCCCCATTCACCCGACTCCTGGGCCAGCATCCAGTCTGCATCATACGGGGCTAACTTGTCCTGTCGTCTCCCGGTCTAGACTCAAGTCTGCCTCACGAGGCAGACTTGTCCCGTGCTGATTCCTCAAAACGAAACGAGGAGTCGCGTGGTTATACAGCACGCAGCTACCTGGGACTGCGGGGGGAGGGAAGGGCGACGATTGTGGGAATCGCGTGCGTGTAACAGAACCTCAAGTGCCTGAATATAAAGGGGTCCAAAGTGGGGCAATTGGGGCAACATGAAGTAGCTCTTCCGGCTGACCAAGTGGGGCAAGTGGGGCAGAAAGGAAATAACTCTTCCGGATGATTGGGGCATGGGGCAAGAAGGAAATAACTCTCGCGGATGAGTAAGTGGGGCAAACCGGGCACAAAAAATCGGGTGCTGTTGGCGCCCGCAATGCGCCCTTGCCTTGAGAAATACACATGTCAGGGCATGGCATGCTGTGACGTCACGTTATATGAACCGAAAACAAGGCAGAATCGTCCTGGGCCCTTGCAAGGAACTCTGCTTTCTCAAAGCAACCCACGTGAGACACCTCGGACTTGCTGTCAAGAAGTCACACCTTCAATGGCCCAATTGGCTGCAAGGGTGCCCAAGAGAAGCAACTTCCATGCCCCCATTGCGGGAACTACTAGGACTTACCGTTCGGTAGAGGCTGATACGCTTAGCAAGCGGAATGTGGTACTCCGGGCTGAGGATCCTGCACCGCAGGCAGACAACCAGGATCTCAGCTCCTTGGCGCTCAAAGACCGCAGCTGATCTGCCTTCCAGGTGTCAGAGGCGATGATATACGGGCAAGAACTCTGACAACTACAAAGTGCACGTTCATATGGGTACATATTTCAACCAATAGGGGGGTACAACATACTATAATCCTTCCTATAGGAACCCCCAAAAAGGGGACCCCTATTTTCGGAAACCCCCATATGGGACCTCTGGTGCATCTACAAGGACGTGACCCCGCCTCGGCCTCCTCCTTTCCTGCAGCAACACCCTCATTTGCAGTGACAGGCGTGCTCTCGTCTTCTGCCTGCAGATCCGACTCCGGGACAACGCTGCAAATCTGCTACTGGCGCGTATACAGAACCGGTCGAACTTGCAGCCAGGATGAACCCTATATACCGAACTCCAAACTCAGGCCCTACACCAAGGGTCATTTCCGAGTTCATCTTACTCCCTCACCCTGATCCCCACCCTACACTTTTCCCCCATGTCCAAAACAGTATCCTAAACCCCACACCCTCAATCACCCAAACCTGAACTGGGGACTGACGGTGCGTAAGTACTCCCCAAGCCTTGCGTCCCCCCTAATAGAAACCACCCAAAAGACTTTAACCCTGAACTCGGAAATAGGGATTTGCCAACATGCTTACGGGTTCGTTTAGAAGTTCTGTTCTATTCTCTGCCTGTGTGTTAAAATATGCTTGTGCGTTTCTGTTGATGTCGCATGCTGCACACCGCGTCCGTACATCCTTCCTTAGACAAACGACATCGCGATTTACGTTACGCGAACTACAGAAAGACTCTGTCAGCATTCGTTTTCGCCCTCGCAATATATTCTGCTTTTAATGTGATTAAGCAAATTGATAAAACATTATCCTGATGATATGAACCATTTCGTTAAAACAGTTTAAGTTTAGCAACTGATGTTTCCATTCTTCAGTTTGTGTTTCCATGTGCTCCTTTATGAAGTTCATTCATTAACCTATCCATTTCTGGTAGCTTTGTCTGTCTTTTGTTGCTTGAAATAGTTCCTGGCGCCTTAAAAAAACCTTCATGTGCTTCTCTTTTTTCATATGATGCTTTTTGTGTTCCAAATCCGCCGACCCCGCTCTTGGGGTCGAGCGCCAGGGAAGGCCCCAACTCACGCCACCCCCAACCGTCCCACAATTAACCCTTGCTTTGCCCACCCGCACAAAGCCCCCCCTGCCCCCCCACCCGCCCCGCCCCTTTCCCCCACCCAACCCCCCCACAGAAAAACTTGCTTTGCCCACCCCGCCCGCCCCACCCCTTTCCCCACCAGCCCCAAAGCCACCCCCCAACCCCTGCCCATCCATTTCCCACCCCTGCCCCAGCGCCCCAAAGCCGCCCCCCCCCGCCCCCGGGTTGCATGCTCCGTGCCTGGGACCCGACCTGCGACTGCCTCTGGTCCCACACCCGCACCAACCCCTACCCCCACACGACAACCCACAAAAACCTGGGACGCCTCTAGTCCCACACCCGCCCGCACCAACCCCCCCCCCCCCCCCCCCCCCCCCCCCCCCCACCCCCCCCAAGGGCAGCGGCGTCAGCCCTTCAATATCCTGCATCTTGAAGTTCGCAAGTTGAGTATTGTTTTCTTGATGTGCTTATCTTGAAACCTTTGATGTCATCTGGGCGCTGCTTCTTCACATATTTACGTACCGCTTCTGGTTTCTGAAATAGCTGCTAAACATATTGGAGCAAAAACCCATCTGACCTACTGTTCCCCATCTGAGACCCCTGAGAATGAGACATGTTGGCATGAGACCAATGCTGAGGCGACCACCCTCAGGAATGGCCCACATGCCGCCAAAGCCTCGACCACCTTGAAAGCTTAGGAGGAACATGCCGAGTTGAGTCTTCAAAGGGGGAGCCAGAGTGAGGCTCGAGCATCAGCCACTGGCTCTCCCGACATAAACTTCCGGAAGCGCAAGCGGGCTGCTGGCAGCTTGTTCTCCTACCACTGTCCAAACGCATGGTTGGCACAACATCTGCACCACAGAACCCCGCCTCCCTCGCAAGGCTCACCGCCTCAAGAGAGTAGCCTTGGCTTCAATGCGAGCAAGTAGGACAAGAACGCTGCGGAGTGCTCATCTGCCCTTCTGATGTCTCTTCTGTGTGTCTTGTGTGCTCTCCTGACTTCAGCTGACGTTCTCTGCAAGTTGGGATCCCAGCTCACCGAGGTTCTGTCGTTTTGGAGCTCCGCCACGACCTATGTGACGATGCACTTGGCAGCACTGTGACCCTTGCAGAAACGGCAAACTGAGAACCTTCTTCTACACTGAACTTGGAACCCTGGCAAAAACTATAATTCTAGCCCTTTCTTAGGAATTACGTAGCCAAAACTTAAAAACTATTCCCAAGAATCCCAAGAGTCTTGGGGCTGATGAAAAACAGAAAAGCCTCAAGGGGCCTTCTTGATCGTAGTCAGCTCCGGCTCTTGCATACGCACAAACCTGACGTGCCGCATCCCAAAGAAGAAGCACCGCACATGGTCTCTGCAGAGGCCCAAGCCCGTACGCGGGGTAGACGCGCTGGAACACGCTGCGCATGTCCGCTCCTGGAAAGAACAGCAAGGCTTCATAGAAGATTTGAGTGCATCTCAGGGATCGTGGAGAAAAAAACAAAAAAACACAACACAAGTACCAGCAAGACCTGGAAATGCTTGGAGTACGCGCACTGCGCATCCAAGGCTGGCGACGTCAAGACCTGCTTGGCAGCTTCGTGGCCCGATCCGCTTGACGAACTGTCCAAACTGGCGCTTCAGGACCCAAGCCGCCTGGAATCTTGAAGGCGTCCGAAGCGCCTGGAAGATGATACAAAATGCTGGTCTGGATCCCATGCTCATCCTCAGAGGCACTGACCCTCGGCTAGATCTTGCAGAGTGGATGCTGCCGTTAAGAGCCTGTCATGAGACAGGTGGACTTTGCCACTTTATCTGTGACCTTTCAAACAATCGCCGCGCCTTTCCACGCTAGAGATTGGCAATAATGGTGCCAGCTGCGCAAGCGGGCTGACCAGCCTATGGCGCGGCTGCAAAGACAGACGGCACAGCATGATGCACTTCGTGAGCGACAGTGCTAAGGCTAGGCTACATCTGCTACCTGCTCTGGCAAGGACAAGGACATCACGCACGTCGCGCAAGTGGAAGGGCTCAGGCTCCGAGGGCAGGGATGGTCGGAGCTGCAGCGCCGCAAAGCGCGAGCGCAGTGGAGGATCCAAAGGATTCCCTCTCAGCAAGCACATGTGGGGCACATGTGACAGTCATGCCACCACCTTGCACAAGCACACAACTGGCCTCGCTCCGGCAAACCCAAAGCTACTACCAAGAAGTCTTCGTGCACTGGCACAAGCTGCGAGAACTCCTTGCAAATCGGCAGAGCAGCGAAAACCACCAAAAGCCAGACTCAACCAGGGTGGGATGGCTCCTGGTCGCTGCCAAACTGCTCTCGCAGCTGTTTGGCCCTTGCAGGCGCAAGGAGGAAGCGCCTCACAGGCCCTATTCATGCCGTAGCTTCAGCTTCAGGTTCACAAAAGGCGAACTGAAAGTGGCCGGTGCGCCTGTCCTCCAGTGACATCTCACGATTCTCGAGGAGGTTGTTCCTGAGTAGCATAACAGACGAAGCGGAGTGGTCGCGAAGTGGCTTTGTGCATCCAGGTTGCAGCAGCGGAAGCACGTTCCGCTCGGCCTTCTCGATGCCTTCAAGCCTGGGGCTCTTGTCTCGTGAGCTTACACAAGAAGCACATGCTATAACATAGCAGCTATATCAATCTATACCACAAACATAAGCCGCTGATGTTGCCGCAGCTAATCTAAGACCACTGCACCAAGATTCGGCCGTGGATGGCTGCTCGCACAGGAGCTTGGTCAACGTACCTGCGCTGTGCACGCTTGGAGCGTCCTTCGAATGTCCCTTGGAATGTCATGGACTGTCCCTTGGCATGGGCAACATGACATGTTTCCGAGATCGCCAAAGCACAGTCTGGCGCTAGCTGGATAGAAATGGCCCGGGGTTCATGCCCACATACTTCTTAGGCCAGCCTCAACCCTGAAATTGTTCCGGCAACTGCTCAGAGGACCGTGCCAGGGGCTCAAGGAAAAAGACCCGAGTGCAAACTTGCGGGGCGCGGATCCAGGCCGGCGCCACGAAACAAATCCAGGATGATTTTAAAAAGAAAGGCGTCAGAATTGAAGGGCTCCAGCTGCTGTTCCAAAGCCGGTCGCCCAAAGTGAGTCGCAGTTCCTCCAGGAAACTAGGCTTCATATCAAGCCAATGCATGCTGGGCACTCCAACTCTTTGCGGACTCCACCTTGCGGTGGGTCTGGTGACAGACTAGAATCATTCTAAGCCATGAATACCCTGGCGCATCTTGAACGTAGTGTTGCTGATACGCTCATGCGCTCAGTGTACCCACTGTGCCCGGGGCTAAAGGGAACGTGGCCCGAGCACAAATTTGTGACCAGGCCCGTGGCCAGGCCCCCTAAAACAAACAAAGATCTCAAAAAGGTGGGGGCTCCAGCTGCTGCGAGTTGCAAGCTTCACGCCCGCTATGCACCGTCCCTGAACCCTGTCGCCCTAAGACAAAATCTGTTGAAAACCAATTTAGCTTGCAAATCAAGGGCCAGCCAGAATTTTGGCAAACGCTCTGCATTGCGACTTGGTCATGCTCTGCTCATAGTTCTGGAGGCGGCCATGAAAGCCGTAACATGCAAGCGCCCGCGAAAGCCGGCCCTAGGAGCGCACAAGTCCGCGCAAATCTCCTGTGAACCTAAAGCCCTGCTTGGGATTGGATCTAGGGCGTGAAGATACTAAGTCCTGCCGGCAACCCCACTGCAGGACCAGTAGGGATTGCACTAGCAATTCGATCCGGGGAAGGGTGCGTGAAGGGATAAGCAAGCAAACCAGTGCTGCAGAGCTTTCGCCAGTCCCTGCATCAAAGAATGCCATCGCAAGGTAGGCCGGACCTGACCCTGGTATGACTCATTGAAATGCCTCATGTACCAGACAGCCCATTCGCCCGAAAGCAAGCATTAAATGGATCAATGAACAATGAAAATATCGAGAGAGGGAGATAGAAACGACATATATAGACATATAGGTATACATATTTTTACAGATGTGTATGTATATGCATACATATAGATACATATACACATATATATATATACATATATATATATATATATAACGGTAACCCCGCCAAGACCTACCTCACCATCAAGCCATCTGCGCTTAAGTGTTAGTAGACACTCACCCCCCCTCTAAATAGACGACTACTCTGAGGGGCCGGCTTGCAGAAGACCCTACATGTGGTCTCTTGCTTTGTGCATCTAGCCATTATCTGAATCAACTTCCTCCGCACTATACTTCGAAATTGAAAGGCCAGAATTGTGTAAATATTGCCTTTGCATTAGTATCTTACGCTCCCATTTTGAGAGGTAGCTGCATATCGCATAGAATACATTGCATTATACATTATGTGAATCATGTTTGGAAAATAATGAAACAGATTAGCATTCTTCCTCATGATTAGTGGCTAATGTACGCTAATCAAGAGATTAAAGCTGAACGGGTTCGTTACACGTACTGGAACTGCCCCCCTTCCATTTCAAACAGCTGTGAGATCATGAATCTATTCAACTACTATACCACTCATCTGAGGGACTTGTACAGTTATGAGACGCTGCTTTGTGTTTTTTGCTGCTACAGATAGTAGACTTAATGCAATTAGACCCGAAGGGCAAACTTGGACAATACAGAAATTTTAGCTAGCGCAATAGACTAGTCGTCCTCCTCAGTACACTTACTCTGTAAGGCAGACTTGTACAAATGTTAGTCACTACATAGTGTTGCTTATTAACAGTATAGGCAGTTTAGTTAGTGCAATTAGCCCTTTGTCGGGTTTACCTTTCTTCACGACGCTTCCAATCTGAGGGGCAGAATTGTCTAAGCAATGACCGCTGTATCCAAAACCCAAAAGATTAGTGCCCGGACTGTTGTCTTTCTTTGTTTTTGGTTTATTTGGGGTTCTTTGGTTTTGTTTTTTGGCTTTGAGAATTGTTTTTGGTCTTTTGTTTTTTCTGGTGCTTGGCTTTGAGAATTAAGGCCGCCAAGGTCTCTGGCAGCTTCGCGTATGCAAACAAGATGTATTATGTTTTTACGGGCGGTTGGTCGTGGGGTCCTGGGGGTGGGGGGGGAGGGTGAGCATATATATATATATATGTATATACATATATATATATATACATAGGCTAGACATGTTCATGGAGACGGCGCCTCTAAGAGGCCGTGCGAGTAACCACGATTTCTGGGCTCGGGTGGGGTTGGGGGGGGGGGGGGGGTGGGGGGGGGGGGGTAATCACGTGACTTGGGACTTCACACCTGCAACTCCAAAGCCTGAACCCCTAATCCCCAAAGGCCTAATCCCTTGCTGTTTAATTCGGGGTTTATAAGCAAAACGCGCCCGCGCCTAGGCGAGAGCGCAATTTCAAGCAAAAAATGTGTCCGAAACTTCAAAACGACACCCCCGAGAAAAAAACACAACAAACAAACGATCCTTCAACCCAAAAGAATAGTCCAAGCAGTGCAAACCCAAATCCGGAAACCTGAACCCTAAACTTTGAACCTTGAACCCTGAAGAAGAATCAACTTGAGGCCACTTTCAGGATCCAGTGCACAAGTCTGTTGGGTTACAACCAAAGCACAATTCCAGAAAATCATGCCTGCGCTGTGGCGAGAGCACTATTTCGAACCTGAACTGCCGGAGCCATAACGCAGAAAAAACTTCCCGAACCGAAAATCGCCATTTGAAAGTTCAACATGGGGAATGAGCAAAACGTGCCCGCGCCTAGGCGAGAGCGCAAATTCGAGCAAAAAACGCGTCCAAAACTTCAAAAAAAAAGGACCCCCTGGAAAAAAACAACAACAAAAAACGATCAGGCTTCGAGCGAAAATGCATTTTTCCGAAAAAATGACCTAACCCTTCAGTGTTTTCGAGCCCTGCAAATGCTGCGGTGATCACGAAAATGTGTGTTTTGCTTGGGTTTTCAGCCCTCGACGCGAAAAATGTAAACACAGAATGTGTTCAGTCACACGGCCTCTTACGGGCGCCGCCACCATGTTCATGTACCGAGGGCTTGTTATGCATGAAGCAGCTAGGCATTCGAGAGCTGCGAGGTACTGGGCTATATGAGAATCTCGAACTGCAGTTCGAGCCCTAGTCAATCCTAGGCTTCCTGGAGCAACACATGTACATTTTGCTGTACACGCGGCTTACATGCGGTACTCCTGTTGCCTGCTCCCAGCGCGACCTTGATCTGCTCTTTGCAGGCCATTGCTTTCAGATTCGGCAAAGTTCGACGATCATGGCGAACTCCTCGGGTGCACGCTCCACGTTCTGACGGAAAGCGTTCAGCTCGTTCAGGTGGTGTTCGTGTAGCCGGCGATCTGGTGCCCTGGGCGCGCCCTGCACGCGACGTGCGTGCCAGGTGGCGGACTCCCAAGACGACCAGCCGGGCCTCACATCTTCATCCTCCACCTGGGGTGGATTGGGGCCACCGCTGCAAAAAACACTACAGGAAGAAAAATTCCATGGGTTTTATCGTTTTATCGGGTTGTATAACCTAAGGACCTAAGGGTGAGAGCCATAGAAAAGAAGAAAACATAAGAAAACAATTTTCCAAATCAACCCCCAGAACATCCTCCTCCGCGAAAATTGTGCTTGCAGAGCCCATCTGCACCACCACCAAAGGCTTGTGCGCTTTCCATGCTTCTGCTGGCGTGCTCACACCAAACCCATGCCGAACAGCTGGCTCCTCTGGTGCATCGAAAAGCCTCTGTCTGTGCAAAGCCGCCAAGAGTTCATCAAAGTTGCGGGTCGCCTCTGGCATCACCCCAGACGGCTGGTGGTCAATCATGTGGACTTCGGCGGAGCTTGCTCCACACCCCATGGTGGGGGCTGCTAGCTAGACATAAACTTCTGTCGCGCCCTAAATGAACTGTCAGATTGCGGCACGGACTTGGCGTAGATAGGGTTCAGGGATCAGGGTTTCGGGCTTCATGGTGTAACCAACGTACTCTGAGGACAGAGTTTGGTCAAGTTCCTTCTTCTCGGAACTCCGACACAGCGCAGGGAAGCAATATATCCTGTAAACGAACAGCTCCCCCGGACTAGGAAAACTTCACCGGGGCTAACCTATCCGAAAGCTTCAAATACGCAGCAACAGGGCGAAAGCACTCCACAAAACAAGGGTGTAGGGCCAGGGTATAGGGCATGGCTTTTAGAACCCAGGATGTCCCTTGGATTGTCCGTTGAAATGTCCCTTGGAATGTCTCTTGGAATGTGCCTTGGAATAAGCCTTGGAATGACAATTGGAGTATCCCCTGGAATGTTTCGGATGTTGCCTGGGAGCCGTGAGATGTCCCTTGGATGGCCCTTGGATGTCGCTCGGAAGGTTCCTGGGACTCTGCTTGGACTGTCTTTCGGCATGTTTTGGGAATGTCCCTGAGATGTGGCTCTTGGATGTTTTTAGGAGATTGTCTCTTGGATGTCCCTTGGATTATTTGTTCCGGGTGTCCCTTGGACTATCTGTTGGGATGTCTTTTTGAATGTCCCCTGGGAGAGCCTGGGATGTCCCACAGGTGTCCCTTGTTTGGAACGTCCCTTGGGATGTTTCTGATGTCTCCCTTCAATGTTCCTCGGAAGTGCCTCGGAATGTTATTGAAATGTCCCCTGCAAATGTGTCTCAGAGAAACTAGGGACGTCGTCGGAAGGTCCCTTGGAATGTCCTTGGAATGTCCTTTGGATGTTCCCTTGGAATGTTCCCTTGGAATGTCCCTGAAAGTGTCCGGGACATTTCTGACACGTCCCTCGGATGCTTCTTGGATGTTCCAATCCTCTCCTCTGGGAAGGTTTCTGGGACATCACTGGGATGTTGCTTGGAATGCCCCTTGGAGCTTGAGCTCCACTTTCGGCACCTGCAGTGGGCCTTTTCTTTGGCCTCTCAAGCCTGCTTGGTTTTCCTTTGGCGCGGCTACGCTGCGCGTAAGATCATGCCCAGCTGCGGCCAGCTCGTGGAAGGGAAGGATATGAGGTGCTTCAGGTGGCAGAGAGCACACGAACTTGCTCTGCACTCTGCGCTGCTTGGTGCACTGCATCATACAACGTCGGCAATGAACCCCCCCGCCCCAAAGTTGCAGTGTTTTGTTGGTGCATGCTTAGCATATCTTCAACCTGGCAACAAACGGAAGTCTTGGATGTCGCATGTATCTGCCCGCATCTATGCAGCTTGGCATGAGAGGTGGCTGACTTCACGCTTCCGTCGACAATCTCGCAGCGCTGCTTCAGATCTGCTTCGCCTCGACGAGTACATGCACAAACTGTCAAAGGCAAGCAGGCAAGCGAGTGGCTGAAGCTCGGTGCTGAGCACATGACACAACCAACGCAACCCTTGTGTAACTTGTGTACAAATCGCAGATCCTTCAAGCTCCATCCTGCCTGTGTCCCTGGTAATGCCAACGTACTCTACCTGACGCAGGGCTCCCTGTGCTTCTCCGGACAAGGGTCTAGCTTAGGATGCCATTGCCTCACGACGGAGAAGCTCACAGAAGCGAAACACGGTGTGCCTGCCAGTGGCACTTCAAAAAACGGTGTTTCTGTGTGTTTCGCTCTCCTTCACATTCCAATCGCTCAAGATCTGCGCCTCAGCAAAGGCCCTGGTGGCCCAAGCAGGAACATGTCTTGCCGCAGCAGGGCCTCGCAGGAAGCACGGAGGGCTGTAGCAGATTTCGGTGGGTCCACTTTGGGACAGAATGTGGCGCTGGGAAGGTTGACCGCTTCCCCAGGCCTTCTGCATCATCCAGCGGAGCGGCGCCAGCTCTGAGGAGGAAAGGTCGGTGCCCTGCTCTGACCACGGCTGTGCGCACAAAGAGATACCGAAAATGTACAAAGCAACATACAAACTCTCAAGTCCCCACCTCTCGAAGCAAGCCACCACGTCGAGGTGGAACAGTTGGAACCTTGGCAGGACCATGATCCCGCCATACCCCCGCATCAGCACGATTCAGCACGTGCCCGATGGCAAACGAGCAGCCAAGGGCGATAGGTTGTCTGAGGCGGACATGGAGACATCGCCAATGGAAACGACCTGAGAGCTCGGGATATCTTGGGCAACTTGCACAAGCGCCTCAGGGCCCGTATGGGCCCGGACACGCGGCTGACTCCGCGCCATGATCCATTAAGTGTGTGAAACGTCTGTTTACCAACGCAGGTCTGTTCGAGTGACTACGCTGCATTGCACCCTGCTACTACCCTGTTCTAGGGTGCTGCGCTCCAAAGCCGCCTGCCTGCCTTTGCAGCGTCCATTCTGAGAGTGAACCAGACACGCACCAAGGTGTAGCTTTGAAGTTGAAGGACATTGGGCTACACTCTCTCGAGATGCGTCCCTCTTGCGAGCAGTGTTTCTTCGTCAAAACTGTCATGTCGCATAGGCGCCATTCACGGTGAGAACTCAAGTCAAATAATTGGCAATTTTTGGTTTTAGGTCTTCCGGCCATCATGTCGGCCTGGCCATCAACGAAGCTCGATAGAGCAGCTCCTGGCATGCGCGGGTGCTGACAGCGAGTAAAACGCAGGTAAAAGCAAAGTGGCGGAGTCTGGCAGAGTCTGGCAGGCCTGGATCAAGGCAATCAGGGCCACGGAGAGAAAGGGCGCGCCGAGGGGCAGCGCCCGAGGCTGGCCCTTCTGGGCAACAGCACGGAGCCACAGGCGGGTGAAGAGCTGCGGCGCGAACATTCTACCAATCGCACCGACGGCCGACATCACGCCCATGGCCTCGCGAGTATCTAGAGAAGCAGACCTACTGGTGGCTGACTGCACAACCAAGGACGGGCGCCTCACCACGAGATAGGCCCAGCTGCACTGCACGCTCCACGAAGCGCGTGAGTAAGACGGTGTTTCCACCTGACCAGGAGTGGCAACAACACCCTAAACTCAACTGAAGGGAGCGTGAAGACAAAGCAGCTTTTTGTGACTCCGCGGGCCTGTCCCAAAGGCAAGGGGCACCAGGCACGCGATCATGCTGGGGCCACTCGTGGACAGAGCCCACGTGGCGTAGGCTACACTGGTCAAGAGGTTTGTAACGCTGACGTACAGCTTCTTCCCGAAAAACTGAATCAGCTTCCCGGCCAGCATGGAGCCGCAGAAGCCTGCCAACGCATGTCCAGACGCAAAGCGCCCAGCTTCCAGTGGGCCCCAGTTGAGGCGCATCTTCATGAAATTCATGGCGACGGAGTTCATCGGTGCGTAGTTCAGGAACTCGTAAAACCCGAGCGCACCGGCCAAGAGACAGCACTCCGGATCAAGCAGCAGCGTGGCGTACGGGCTCTTCTTTCCAGTTCTGGCAAGAGGAGCCTTCGGGGAGGTAGGGGAAGAGGGTCCCTCTCCCGAAGCCTTGCCATCCTTGATGTCCCGGTTCGTTTCGGGCAGACACGCCGAAACAAAGCCGAAAGCGAGCAAAGGCACGGCTGCTGACACCAGATAAGTTGAGCGGGGACCTACATTTGCATTCCACCACCCAGACAGATAGTTGCCGATGATGCCACCAAATGCCTGAGGAGGCGGGAAGCAGATGCAAAAAAACAAGGAGCTCGAAGGACCCTCTGATCAGCTGCCCTGGCCTGAGATGCACCCAGTTGAGCTCGTGCTGCAGGCTGTGCATCGACCGTGAAGGCGTCCGTTATCATCGTTCCGCACATGCCCATAAACGGCTGGATTCCTCAGCTCCCTTCCCCGACTTCAACTACAGAAACTCACGTCTGCTCTCAGGCACCTGCATAAACCTGCATACATCACCGCCACATTGGCACGTTGAAGAGAACAAACTAGAAGCAATCTCTTGAGCTAAGCCGCCAATGGCCCGCGCTGACCCGAAATCCAGCCACCTTTGCACTGTACAAAGACATGCAGGGTCGATCCACGACTCAAAACCCAAAACAACAGACTTCCGAACTGACTTGAGAGAAGTGGCAGAAGTCGTATTCTGGCCATAGGCTGTTCCACCAGCGCACAAAGTGTACGCATGATTGCTGGCCCGATCATGAAGAACAGCATGATGGGCTTTCGGCCAAAGCGGTCAGACAGCTTGCCAAACAGAGGGCTCAAGAAAAACTCTACAACGCTGCCAAGAGAATAGGCAGTTGCAAGGCCGCTTGTTGCCTGCACAACGGCATCTTCCCCCAGCGGGCCCGCTGTTTGCGTGATGAGGAGCTGTCGCGCTTGCAAAGTTGCAATGCCAGCGGAGGATATTGCAGCTGATGTAGCTTTGAGGACTAGCAGGAAGTACTGGTTGTCGATCGTGTCATTGCGGCTTTTGCCAGCAGAAGGGCTGCTTCCCGACGCCATAGCTGCCAAGACAAGTGATTAAACCCGCCAGCCCAATATTCCTACATAAATGAGCCAGCATCAACTGCGGAGAAACCAGACAACTGAGCTGCATGGTCTTGTAGTTGCCCAGTCAGTGCCTCACATTGCAAGAACTTCTTGGCCAAATCAATCGTCGACAAGGAAGGACAGGACAAGACTTTCTCCAATCCCTCGCTGAATTGTGCAGGAATGTCCGGGAACGGGGCCTTCCACCTTTTGAAGGTTACCAGTGCCTAGTGCCCGGTCAGCGGACCTTCACACATGCTCAGTGACTGTTGCAAAAAGACCAAGAGTTTGCCACTACAGACATTTTCTGTTGGACCTTTCAGCCAATGGGAAGTGACGTGACGGTGATGTGAAGTGAAGAAATTGGTTGCTTGGCTGGAGCATGCTGGAGCACACTGGAGCATGTGCATGTGTGCCAGAAGTGGTGCAGAGCTCCTTCGATGATAGATTTCGAGATTGTCCAGGTTGGGCGACAAGTCACTTCAGAGCTCCGGCTCGTGCCATGTGGCAGATGCGCTGCCACTTTGCACTCAAGCAAAACCAACAGTTGACGGAGTTAACGAGAAGACCGGGCGTCTTCCCGACCATGATAGAGAGATTCGGCCGATGCGGATGGCACAGAGCGATCGCACTTGGTAGGGGCTCATTGGGAATTCGCGAAACCCCGAGCTGCACAGCTCTTTCCATGAAGCGGTGTGGCTTTGCCTGGAAGGGCAGATAAGCCTACATAAGCGTGTATATGCTATGAGGCGCTTCGCAATTCTGGACTGCCAGTCTGTGCCAACTCCCTGGCTCTCACCTAACAACGCATTGCAGTTCCACGAGAACTCGGGGGCCTTTTCACAACGGTGTTGCCCTAAGCGTTGCAGGCCCTCCCAGCCACCACAGCTGCATTCCTTTGGCAGCAAGCGCAGGCCAGTCCAAGCTTCGTGCCAGGACCGCCTCATTTGGCACCTGGAAGCCCTCTACTGCCTCGCGCGAGCCCATCAAAAGTCCCCCCTGGCCATCCAAGGCCAGGACACTCACCAACTCCCCTCCGCGCTTCGCCAGCTCGTTGCCAATCTCTGTTGTGCCCGAGACCTGAAGATCAAAAGACGCGCCTGCTGCTCGAAGGTGATCCAAGGAGATCCTCCGCTGGTGCCCAACACCATAGCCTCCCGCATCACGGTGCTCGTTCAGCCGCACTGGAGCCAAGGGCAAGCCCTCCAGCACAGGGACCGTCGCAGAACAGCCGAGGAGAGAGCACTTCAAGTGTCCGGTCATGTCATCCGGGCCCTCCAAAGTGTGAGCAAAGAACTCATAATGCCACTTTTCCGGAATGACCTGATTCATCACAGGCTCGATACTGCCTGACCCGACAGACAGGCTGGCGCTGGTATGCTTCTCGTGGACCAATACAGCACCAGCCTCTGCCGGCAAGCGCTTTGTAATCTCTGTTTCTAGCTGCGTCGCATTCCTTGCGGCCGCCATGACAGAAAACTCCTCCCGCCGCGCAGACGGCCGATAGGTCACCTCGATCTCCACAGGATCCCCGCCCCCGCTCCGCAGGTCGATGAGGTAGATCCCTTGCCAGGTACCCATGCTGAAGCTGCCGGAAGCACATGGCAAGGACAAGGATTTGCGAAAGAGCAAGGACTGCGGGCCGGCACCTCGGCGACATTCACACTATTTTTTTGGCCCCTGCCCTAACCACTTTTTAGCCCTGAGCCCCACTCTGTGTCGCTTTCGGCTCTTTCGCACCTGGGGGATGCAGTCGAGAGATGGCTGCCAGATGATCTGTTCGCACATCTGGGTCCGCATTTTCATTCACACCTTTAGGCACACCATTCTGCACACTGCGAGCCACCGTGACAGGTGATGGCAAGTACTGGCAAATTAAAGCCAAGCTGCTGAAGGACACACCATCAATCGGATGGACGATGCAGAGATTTACCACCCCCGGTCCTGTCAAAATTGCAGCTGTCTGAAAATCCGAAATGCGCCGTGGCCTCTACAGGGCAACAGACAGACAGACAGACAGACAGGCAGGCAGGCAGACAGGCAGGCAGGAGGCAGGCAGGCAGGCAGGCACACACACACACACACACACACCCGCGCGCGCACACACACACACACACACACACACTTGCGCACGCATAAGAAAGGGAGCTCCTTTCGCACTCCCTTTCAGTAGTGGGCGCGTGTCCAGAAGCCTCAGTCTCCGCTGTGACGCAACATGAAGTTCCACACTCAAACGTTGAGTCACAAATTCGTGTATGCCAGCAACGCTATATCACCTGACCTCAACTTGAGACGAAGCATATTTGGCATGAGACGGTATGAGAGCAACTTGAAAAAAGTACTGGGGCTCATTGTCATCATACTAGAAATAGACACAGCAAAAACGCAAAAATCGGTTGCTCCGCGCGTAAAACCTTCGTGGGGTATTGGGCTTTCATTCCTTCCTACGGCGCCTCGCCCTCAGCCTCCCCGCGCAGGGATCACCATTTCGGCTTAAACGGCTCTAAAACATGATCCCCCGCATCGGGTCCCTCGCCCCTCCCCCAACCCCTCTGCGGGGAATCACAACTTTGAGCTCTGTGGGCCTGAAAAACTCCCAAAAGTGATTTCCTCACGTCCGGCCCCTAACCCTAAACCCTTACATGCTGGCTGTTGGTTCGGACTAGGCGTCTCTGACACGGGAGCCCAACGAGCACCAACATCGCCACCGTTACAGTATGAGTGCACAGCCATTACTCCCAGCTTTTCTGCTCCTACACCCACATTCCCCCAGTGCGTGCACGCGGTTTGCGATTCACTGCTAAAACTCACAGTGTCGTCACTACAAAGCCCGGCCGCTGGATAGTGCCGGCTCGGGCAGCAAGCTGAATCAGGACCATGATGACAACAAGAAGCGACGTGGTTGAAAAGGGTGCAACGGACACGATGCCAGATGCAGGAAAGATGATGCATTGCTTGTATTGTGTTGCTAGCCTGCTGTGTGCATCTCATGCTTGCTGATGAAACATTTCGATTCTGGAGCCCGAAGCGTTGTGAGCTGCTTGAACAAGATGTTGCTCTTGCATGTTGAACTCAGACTCTCCTGTCTGTGAGCTGGGCACCCTCCATCCCTCCATTTATCGAAGAACGTGGTACTAGAAACCACCATGCCAGGCGAATGCCGCTACGGCGGACTAGCTGTCCGAACCAAGACCGAAGCAGAACCCCTCTCGACCGAAGCAGAACCCCTCTCGACCCTGGAAAGGTGTTACTGAAAGATGGGATGTTCTTGTTCACAGACACCCAGAAGATTTCTTGCGGCGTTTTGATGCCTGCAATTGTGGCACTGTGTGTCTGGCACTCGCCAACCCAAGCTGACCGCAGGCCGCCGACCAGGAGCGGCCGAGCTTCGTGGAAAAGCGGATCGTAACGTTCGGGGCTCCCAAGCCGCGCAGCTTCTCACGAAATCGCTTGCAGATGAAATCGGAGGGCGGCTCGTAGCCGTGCGAAGCACCGGCACTGGTGGGATTGTACGGAATGAGGTTGATGCCTGCGCACCGAAGTCTCTCCTCAGCGACAACCTTGGCCAGTGCAATGGCCTGTTCCTCCCCATCGTTCTTGTTCCGAATCAAAATGTACTCGATCAGAACTCCAGTGCCGGTGGCTTCTTCAAATTGCCGAACTGCGGAAAAGACCTCCGCCAGTTTCCAGGATTTGGAGGCCACTGGGAGCAACTCTTCTCGGAGCTCTTGTGTGGGCGCGTGAAGGGACAGGGCGAGGTTGAGCCCTGGCGGAGCCTCTCCGGCCAGCTTCCTAATCTGAGGCGCAACTCCCACTGTGGAGAGTGTCACCTTATGGCCTGACACGTGGAGCATCCTGGCTGCTTCGAGCACGTTTGAGTAGTTCAAGAGGGGCTCGCCCATGCCCATAAAGACGACGTTGCTTACCTTCTGGACTCCTTCCCGCAGCAACCACGCCTCCGCATGCAGCACCTGCTCCAAGATCGCCCACTCCGGCAGGTTGATGCCACGAGAGCCACCCATCAAGCCGGTGTCACAGAAGCGACATGCCATGGAGCAACCCCCTTGCGAGGAGGCACAGATTGTGGCCTGGAGCTGATGCCCTGGCCTCGTCTTTGAAACAATTATCGCCGTTTCGATTTGCATTCCACTCGGCAAAGAAATCAGCATCTTTCCGCCACCTGAACTTACGCTGCCGTCGCAACGAAGCACTCGGCTTGCGAGTCCACAGCCGGTGTGTCGTGTTGCCTCTAGCACGTCGGATGCTGGTCCCAGATCCAACGCCAGATTCCAGGAGTCTTGGTTTCGAGAATAAAACTCCGCGTGCCTTACTAAATGGTTCCAGATGCTTCTTTTGCATCCAGCTGCAGGCGCGCGTTCCAAGCATTTTCTGTCCAGCACGCTTCCCGCAATTGACTCGAAGCTTCGCTTGCTCCGCAACTTCTGGCGAACAGCCCGGGAAACGCCCAAGCTGGCACGCATTGGCACTTGCCAAAATGAAACAGTGAGGTATGGGCCATTGGCATGGGAGAGACTTAGTTTGGCCGAGCACGTACATGGGGAATAGATCGTTTTTTGAGTGCTGCTGGTCTGCTTGCCAGTTGCTCTGAGACGTGTCCTGAACTCTTCAGAAGCTGGAACCGGAAGACGGAAAGCTAATGAATCCATGGGACCGCAGGGGTCTTCATGTGATTTCTTGTGTGGGATGGGGGGGGGGGAATCTGCGAATCCGGCTGAACACACAGGCTAGGTCTCTGCTTCTTCCACGCGTGGACTCCGGACTCCATAAACGCTGTTTTTTTTCGACTTAGGTCTGCATAGTCAGAAGCAAACCTTTCTGGGGGTCGAAGCCTTAGCGCAGCAGAATTGCAAGGCGCACCATTGATGTGTGTAAAAAAAAAAACAGCGTTAGACCCAGCAGCCAAACTGCCTGTCCGCACCTATGCAGTGATAAGTTCGTGGCCCTTCTTCTGGACCTGGATTCTCAGACCCCGCATGGCGATGCGCTCAAATCCTGGCAATGCTGTAATGCAAAGTTCAAGGATTCGCGAAGCTTCGTCTAGCTTTGGGTGTCGGGCTCCGCATGCTCAACAGCCATGAAACACAGCTGACAGAGAGTCCTGGCGCAAACAGGAACCGGGGGAGAAAGCCCAACAGCGGCTTCTCGTTCGGGTGTCTGAAGACGTGGACAAAGACTCCTCTTGCGAAGCATTTGTCAATGTTATACAGTACCCCTGAATGGTGCCCACCTGTTGGAAGGAAATCTCCGACTTGACCATCGAATGTAATACCCTTCGGCAATCCATCCAGCATCTTCGGATCCCGGTTCTCGTCCTAACTGGCAGGCACATGCTTTGACCTGCGCCTCGCACCGCTCAACTTCGATTGGTATACACAGGTTTGTCAAAACCGTCCTGTCGTTCTACATTGGGGTTTCGTGGTGGACTGACGTTACCTGACGGTCTCCTTCTTTTGAAGGCGGGGAGGTCGGGCGAGATCCCCCGAGCGTTGCGTGAGGAAGATGGCACCGTTGTCTCCAACCTTCCCCGGAAAAAGAAAACTTTTGGGTCTCTTGCAGACTTCCGGATGCCTCGACTCACCCCGGCCTCAAGAACGCGGGCTCGCACCGCATGCTGCTTTATGAATATCGCCTCAGGGAAGGCAAGCTGAGATGGCACAACTGGGCAAAGACGCTGTACTGTCTGTACTGGCACCTTGAGAGACCTTCCAGGAAAGCCATCCTCAATCTCGCTCAACTCGAGCCGCGCATCCCTGGCAAAGAGGGTACAGGGATGTGTGGAGCTCCACCAGCAGCCAGAGACAGCTTGCGGATGAGATTAACACAAGGAAGCGCATTCTCCAGAAATGTCTGAGGGGTGCTCCGCTCCGTGCCGATGTCGACGAAAACGAAGCTCCGCCAGACATCCCTAGCAGATTACAAAGTAGCCATCCAAGATCCACGCGACTGGAGCTGGCCCCCTCCCGTGCCTCACAAAGCCAGGAACCAGATCGCCTACCTGTGTCGCAAGGGCTCGCAGCACATCCAAAACTATGGGCGCCAGGATCCGCAAGGACATATTGGACCATGGTGACCATGAGCCTGCACGGATTTCTTCCGATGGGCCGGCTCGTCCACGCCATTGCTCGATGACCATCCGTTTCGACTAGGTTTGGCAAGCACCTTTGGCTTAGCAGGGGCAGGTACCGGCGGCAGCTCCTCAGCGGTGACGGGCCTTGGGCTGAGATTTCAGAGCTTTAAGGGTTCAAGATGTTCAAGGGAAGGCGAAAGCCGAAGCTGCATGGCAACTTCGGGCGGGTAGGAATGGGGCAAGGCGGCTTGGCAGGGCACAAAAGAAACAAAGAAACTCGCAGCCACGAAACCAAGAGAAGCAACGCCCTGCCAGCGCCACGCACACGGCCAGAGCCGCCACAACACCACGCCGCGCTTTGGCGCACATGTGGAGGGCGGATACCGAGGGTGTCCGGATACCTATCTAATTGTCTCAGCTTTGCATGAGACCTATTTTTGCACGCAAAATGCTGCAGGTCATATATGAGCGAGTACTAGGCTTGTGGGAAGATTCCAAGAATTGACGCCTATGAGAACATGGGCGCGGCTTTGTCTACATCTTCACCTGTCAGCCATGAGCTGAGGCGGAGACGAGGGCTTTTCAGTCCGGAAACTTGAGGATTTCGGAGGTTCAAGCTCCTTTGCGGCATGCTGGTGTTCGGAAAGACAGATGCTCTTTTGCATGTATAAAGTGGGTGCGAATGGGCCGGGAACTTGACCCAGAAGATCGCCCCACGATAGGACGAAGCCAGGAGCCCAAGAGGCCCAAAAGCGGCCCAGGGAAACCCCCGAATCCAACCCCCAATCCAACCCCCAGGATCAGCAAGTGTCAATGCGCCCTCCGATCCCCAAAAACGTTTGACCCAGCGCAAGAACATCGGTCAAACGCTCGAGCTTGACAATCGCACCCGCAGCAAAGATTCTTGGCTACGGGGAGAATGATTTGGCGACCCTACTACCACTCCAGAGTTCGCCGATGTTGTTACAGTCTAAGATGCGCGAGAGCGATGCAAGCAATGAGGTTGTTTGGCTCTTTCGGGGGCGAGGGCACGTGTTGCACGATGCAATGACACGAAGCAACAGGATTGGCCCCCAAGTAAGCAATAAACTTGCTTGTCTTGAAGGGGGTTGTTGCACTGCAGATGACTCAGTCTGTGTCCACCGCATCTCTATCGTCCACATCCACTGCCGTGCTTGCATCACAGGGCTGGCTTACGCGCGACTGACGAAGAGCTCACTCGTCACATGCCGACATGCTGAAATGCTGAAAGAGCACCAGCACGTTTTGCTTCTGGTTCTGGCTCAGCTCCCCGCTGACTTTGCAGCTCTCGCGACTGCCCCATCTGGAATATACCCCATTCCACAAACCCAGCCAGGGATCTTCTTTGCTAAGTCTGCAACAAACACTCCACACTTTTGTATAAACATCCATGTCCCTGGCTACTGGGCACTGGAGCGAATGCCTTGCATTCACCAGTCCAGGCACTGGAAGGAAGCCTTTACCTGCCAATGGATATACCCTGTCAGCCAGACAGCGGCATTCGGTGCTGCGGCGGGCCAGTAAGGGGTGCAGCAGCAGCAAAGATAGGGAAGAAGAGCTCTGAGCAGGGGATGAAGTGGTGACCTCTGGTTCAGTTGCCAGTTGCAGATGAATCATGGGCTCACGACGCAAAGCAACTCCACAACAAGGGCCCTGCAACCAATTGTCATCCATGTATCTGCGTCCTTTGGCACAAAGGGGCGCTCATCATGCCAGGCTGAACGTTACTATGCCAGATTTTCCCAGGCTACTCTGCACCTTCTTCATTCTTGCCAGCGTGGTTTTCACCGCCACGTCCTCGCAGGTCTGACTGGATAAGGAATTCTGCTTTGCTGCCATCAACTGAAACTGCAGCCAGCTCAACAGATCAAGCACAGAATCCTGGTCCGAGACCTCGAGACCAGCCGATTCGCACAAATGGGCTGCAAACTGCAGCTCTTTTTGGACCTCAAGATGCGGTTCAGCACATCAGAGGCATGTTTGCAACGCCCTCCGAAGAACGGCCAGGCAGCTGCCGCAGTTCGGCAAGAGTCCCATTTCCCCATACTTTAGAAGATCCCACAAATGCGGATCCCGAGACCATGCAGAGGACAGGACGGGGAGCAGGAAAAAGCAAAGAACGCTAAACATGGCATCGATCTCAGGCTGGTTTAGCAAAGAGCTTCAGGTTCAGGAGCTTCGAAATGGTACCAGGGGCTAGGAGGGGAGGCTACCATTGAGCGAGGGCTCACTTGATTTGATGCAGGCTGCGGTCTTGTTTCGCCATTCTTGCGGTGACCCCTCATCTCGAAACATGGGGCAGACTGGGACAGCATGGGACAGCTCTTTGATTGTCCCAAAAGTCTGTACAGCGCAATCGCACCCCGGTGATTGCGCTCTCTTGATTCCGACATCACGGGTGCCAACGTGTCTAAACGACATGTACATGTCGATGGCGTCTGCTTTGCGAGCCCTAAGGCGAACCCGATAGATCCCACCATCTGCATAGGAAGCCTAGGTCCTAGAGCCACAAGATCGCCATCTGTGACATGCCTCAACACGACACTCCGATCAGGCCCCGATCAAGGCTCACTCCACCGAGCCAATCAGGCCATTTGACTCCTTCGGGCTAAGGACTGTCAACTTGCTCTACACCCTGTGTAGATGCTTCGGGTTTAGGCCTTTAAGCCTTTGGAGTACTCACGAACTGTCCGAATGCTTCGGGCATGCACTGAAGGTCGGTTTAGACCACCCCGGCGAGCCCCACCTCAGACACCCCCAACCCCCCATGACAACTGGACCCCAACCATCATCACTGCTAGTGCCTGCAATGGGCTCGACACATCTGTTACTTATCGTCCGCCTTCGCCTTGTCCCTTTGAAGCCCGGGACCATAGCTCCGACATGCTCCGAAATGCTCCGAAACTCCACCAGCGGACTCGTCCCTCTGACCTCATTCCCCACCTCAAGGCCTGCCATCCTTCCGAATTTACAAAGCCTCCCCACTCCACCATCCTACCTTTCCCAAGATCTCCCAAGCACACACAACGAACTCCGAAGTGCCTGAATCCTCCCCCCGACCCCCCACGATTCTATCACATCCCAAACCCTCTTCAGTACTGACTGTTAAGCTCTCGCTTTTTGGGGTAGCATTATTCTCTTCTTCTTCTGATTATTAATCTTCTTCTTCTTCTTCTTCTTCTTCTTCTTCTTCTTCTTCTTCTTCTTCTTCTTCTTATTCTTCTTCTTTCGTCTTCTTCTTGTTCTTATTTCGTCTTCTTCTTCTTATTCTTCGTCGTCTTCTTTTCTTCTGCACGTTTCGGACAGAGCCCCTTCCTTCCTTCCTTCCAGCTCCCGAGGGGGTTGCCCCGAGGGGCACGCTCCACTTGTCAACCACTTACAACAGATCGCATACGGAAACCTTCCCGCCCACCCCTCTGTCTCCCTCCCTCCCTCCCTCCCTCCCTCCGTCTTTCTATCTCTCCAGCGGACTCTGTACCAGACTGTTGGCCGTGAGCGACCAGCACACGACAGGGCGACCAAGGAACTTCATGTCCCTCTCGACCGGCGCATTGGAAGTCACACAGAGGGCTATGGAGCAAGCCATTCTGGAAAGACCAACGCCCGTGGAGCCAAGTTCCATAAATGGGCTTTCCGAAATTAGGGGTACCTTATTGGGGTCCTCTTGATAAGGGGGTCTATACTAGGGGTCCCCTGTTTGGCAAACCCCCAAATCTCACGGAAAGCAACAACCGGGCTCCTGGACACCTTTGAATTTGCCGCCTGGAACGATGGAAAGGTTCTCAGGGTTCAAAATGCAGGGGAACCGTCTGCAAGGTGTTGCGTTTCTAGGATGCCTACGACACATGCCTCTTGGCTTATGATCATACAACATGACATGTTGTAGGTGCAGCATGAAGAAGAACGTCTGGTGCAGCATGTCCATCCAGAACTAACTCCAAGACTGCCCGTGGATTTCACTCATGTGTTAACACTCTCGAGCATCTCGACCACACCCGCAATAACAACCAAGAGCAGAAGAACAGATACGAGTAGGCAGTTGGGACGGGACAACGTCCAAAAGTGTAACCTATGTGCATGGGCCGCATGGGTGTGTGCACGCCAACAGAGATGAATGTACCATGTGCAACATACTACTTAGTGATCGCCGTGACACTTCGGTTCACTCCAATCTCCCATTCTCAGCAGCTGGTTTCAAGGCTGCCGCAGCCTAACCTTTGAGGGCCCAAAGACTTGGGGGGTTACGAAAAAGGGACTCCCCCCAATATAGTCCCCAAATAGTAGGATTGCCTTATAAAAAGGGACCCCAGGTACCCCGAATTTCGGAAACCTCCATTTGGCTTCACTCGTCCCTGCCTTCTTGGGCGCAGCCTTGGGGGCTGACTTGCCGTCTTTCTTGGCCTGCTTTTCGGTGGCCGTCTCGTCAGCAGCCTTTGTCCGCGCCTTCTTGGCCTGGGTCCAGCAATTTCGGGATTTTTGAGTACGGCAAAAAGAAAGGGATGACAAACAAAACCGCTCACTATGAATAGTCTAGCCACTGGCTGTTCGGCCTCCTCATTTGTCACGCTGGGAAGCGGCGGCACATAGGACTTCTTGGCCTCTTCGTACTCGGCCTTCTTTGCTTCGTATTCCTTTTGGAAGACCTTCTTCTTGTCCTCGCTGAGCTTCTTCCATCTCTCGGAGGCCAACTTGGTGACGGCGGTGACCGGCTGACCCTTGCACTCCTCAGTGAAAGCCGCCCGGTTCTTGGCAAGGAAGCAGCCGAAGGCACCCCCTGCAGGCTTCTTTGGTGCGTCCGGATCCTTCTTGGGCTTCGCGGACTTCTCCGCCTTCCTCTTCGTAGTCTTCTTCTCGCCGCCGGCATCGAGGAAGGCTTTCATGTCTGCCTGATAAGCTGATGGACGATATTTTGGGGACGATGGGCCCGAAAGTCCAAAAACCCATAACCCACCGACCTGATTTGTTGGCACCGAGGCCCCAGGGCTTGCTTACCATTTTCTTTGCAGTTGTCAGGGGGACTTATAGTTGAATTGCACAAGGTTTGACAAGCCAGAATCCGTCAAAACCCTAAGCCCTAAGCCCTAAACCCCGCGCCTCGTACTTGACCTTGGCCTCCTCAAACTTCTTTTGATAGGTGGCCTTGGAGGCCGCGCTGAGGGCCTTGAAGCGGGATCCGGCAAGCTTGCCCACCTCGCTTGCCGGCTTCCCCGGACCCAACTCCTTCTGCAACTCCGCGCGATGCTCCGCCAGCCAGGCGCCGTAGGCTCCGCCGACTGGCTTCTTGGGCTGCTCACCGGCCATGGCTGGGGAAGAAGGAGCACGAAGTCAAGCACTGAGCGGGTCTGCCTTTGAGCCGGGCACTAAACGTGCTGCTCTGACTTCAATGACTGGGCTTGCCGGGCTGTGGCCTCAACCGCAGCACGTATGCCAGACGTATACGCTACGCCCATGCCCATGCAAGCGTATGCTGGGACCCGAGCTGTCTTCTCACTGACAAGGTTCTCACCTTTGTTCGCTCTGCGGGTCTTCTCCTGTGCTTGCACGGAACACAGGGAACGCATTTGCTTCTCATAGGAGCCTGAGAACATTATGGCAAAAAGAACTACTGCCAACATCTCAGATAAGGAAACGCAACTTCAGTGGGCATACATACAAGAGAGGGTAGCAAATGGAATCCAAGAGAAGTCGCCAAAACCGGCTGGTGGTGCTAATGGACGCAACATGAGGGGTGTCGCTTTCAAGTGTTCCCATCGTTTTACAGGGTTTTACCATCAGTTATCCACGCCTGATGTCTGCAGGTGTCGCTTTGGGACCAATTCAAGGCTGTAGCCCACCCAACGGTTCATTAACTTAGGGGTGTCGCTTTTCAAGTGTTCCCATCGCTTTTCAGGGTTTTGGGCATTCGTGTCCACCCCTTACTTACTTGAATGGCTGCGGGTTTTGGCGCTTGCTCAAGAGGACGCCCGATTCCCTATCAAGCGGCAGATTCAACTACACTTCCAAGCCACTCTGCTGCAGTTTCGAAGGTTTCACCAAATGCACACCATGGTTCGGTGCCAGCAACTTGGTCGATAGGTTGCACCCATCCTGACAAGCAGCTGGCACCCTCTCAGGCAGGATATGACATAAAGGCTCTGCAAAATAACAAAGCACCCTTCTGCGCTGATTCTGGGCAGCAATGCCATCCATCCCAGCCTTCACAGTGTTGCTTCACCAGGCGCCTCTGCGAGGGAGCTGCTTTTTAGCAATCTGCTTCGCGCAGTGAGGCTGAGGGGTGGTTTAGGTGGTCGGGGGCAGCAAAGATGCTGGAGCCTGAGCTGTAGATGCCACTGATTCCGCGCAACTCCAAGTTGAATCTGGTCAAGGGCAACCGGGTAGCACCCGAGCATAGCTCATGTGAGGTAGCAGTGATGATTAGGACCGCCTCGGTTGAGCAAGCCTTGCAGGTGAAGGGCGCAGCCTGTCATTATTCTGAAAAGAGGCCACAAGAAGCCAAGACGAGGTTATGAGGGATGTGTTGGACGACCCCGCCTGGTGGTCCTTCTCACCCTGTGGGGCCAGCAGCCTGCTGAGTCACTCAGTTTGTTTAGAGCTTAGGAAAGCTCAAGGTTTATACATTCGTGTTGTAGGGTTAGAATTATGGTAACTTTACTTATAACGTATAGGCCCATTTAGGTTACTTGCAACTCTACTTACAACTACCCTCACCCGAAAGCCTCAACCCTAGACCCTAAAAACCCTGAACCTTTGGGGGTGTGCTGGGCTCAGGCCGAAGCTGCTGCCAAGATGTCGTACCAGCACCTCGGGGCCGATGCAGGAAGCAACAACAGAATCCAAACAACTAGGGTTTAGGGTTTAGGGCCTAGGGTTTAGGGTTTAGGGTTTAGGGTTTAGGGTTTAGAGTTTAGGGTTTAGGGTTTAGGGTTTAGGGGTTTAGGGGGTTAGGGGTTTAGGGGTTTAGGGGTTTAGGGGTTTAGGGGTTTAGGGGTTTAGGGGTTTAGGGGTTTAGGGGTTTAGGGGTTTAGGGTTTAAGGTTTAGGGTGTAGGGATTCGGGCTTAGGGTTTAGGGTTTAGGGTTTAGGGTTTACGGTTTAGGGTTTAGGGTTTAGGGTTTAGGGTTTGGAGTCTAGGGTTTAGGGTTTAGGGTTGAGGGCCTGGGGGTAGGAGCTTCAGCACGGACGGGGCCGACACGCAGCTCAAGAAAATGTTGAACTATCCGAAACTACCCCAAGTCCTATCTCAAAGCAATTTCTGCAGTTGCCTCCACACGTCTTGCCGTGCCCAGACTTTCGGCTTGGGTTAGGCTTCAGGATTCAATGAACTGTTCCAGGTTTCGGCACTTTGAGAGGGGATTCTCATCGTTTTGAGGGTTGTGAGGGGTGCACCAATATGTACCCATCGGCATCAGCAACTGTGAACGCTGGCATCCGGGGTGCGGGCACTTCTTGCACTTTACTCCGTCGAGGATGGACGTAAAGTTTTTGTAGCGAAGCGCACGATCCTAGCAGCAAAGCTGAATGTGTGACGAGAGCGAGTTGCTAGAATTGCCCAGATCTCCAAGCAGCAGAAGCTGAGAATCTAGCGAAGATTGAGGTCGGATCCAGGTCTGCACCCATGTACTGCAAGGCAGTGGTCGTTACAGTTTCGGGACTGAGTTTGGGCAGGAGGCATACCATCACAGTCCACAGCGAGAGTCATTCAGCACTAGCTACGAAGAAGACAAGGGAGTGCCGTAACAAGCCCCTGAAACAGGAATCAAGGCACCTTGGAGATGTAGTCTAAGTTTTCACCTTCAGCAGCACGGCAAGGACACATAGATGTCAAGGGTAACTCATGCTCTGAAGCAGGTGTTTGCAACCCTTGGGTCATCGCCGTCCTCATGTTGCACTGCCTGAGAAGGCTTTTCCAATGACGTGAGCAGCAATGTTCGCAGCTTTGCTTTGAAGGAAACGGTTCAACCGGTTACAGGCCTGTGCATAGATGGAGGGATCCATGCCTCCCAAACACACTGCTTCACAAGCAAGGAATGCCCGCATGCCACGGAATGCCCGGGATGCTACATGCTTCAGGCCTAGGCATTCGGCGATTCGACTCGGGCTTGTGCCCTCCACGACACCCAGTATTCGGGCAATGATCGGGTGTACCTCGAAGGCAATGTTTCAGAACTGAGGTCGCTGATCGAAGCTTCGCAGTTCTGCCAGGCAAAAGGCATGCCTGTTGCTTCTTGTACCAGGCCATGTCCAAGCGCAACGTCGGATCCTGGTTCGAGCCCACTTTTACCCCTGTGATTTTCGTCACTGACCCGCAGCTTCCCTCAAGCTTAAGCACGACCATCCACGCCGAAGTCCAGCTCCATCTCGTGCGGGTGTCGAGCGCGCTCAGCGAGCAAAGACTTGCCATCGTGACCTTCACCTTGCTACAGCACAGGTGACTAGCAACCCCACACAGCAACCCCACAGAAGACTTGAGTGCATCCTGAACCAGCCACCTGCGCTGTCACATACCACATACCCAATCTCCTGCCCGGGTCGAACCTGCCCACACCACTGTGCTGTGACAGCACTCTGGGACAACCACACGACCAAGTGAGTTCGGGAAGCTAGCCTGCTTGCCCCGCGAGAGCAATCGCAGCGCCACCTCATCAGGCCAACAAACCACTTGTAGAAAGAAGCACCGCTATGGCCGTTCGTCTGTTCGTTTGTGTGCTTCTGTGTCTCTGTGTCTCTGTGTCTCGGTGGGGGGTGTGTGTGTGTGTGTGTGTGTGTGTGAGTGTTTGTTTTTGTTTGGGGTGTGTATGTGTGCGCGTGTTCTTTGTTTTGTTGGGCTGTGTGGTTGATTGGTTGTTTGGTTGTTTTTGCCTTTCTCTAGTCATGTTTATCTTTTTTCGGTTCTTTCCTTTTTCTGTCTTACGTCCTTCTTTAGATATTTCGGTCGATCTTCTTATCATTCGCTCTGTATGCATGTATTTATGTATTTCGGCCCTTCTTTCCTGAGTTTTTCATTACTTCGGTCATTCGGTGTCATTCGGTGTTCTCGCCATTCATGTCGTCATATATGTCCTTTTCAGTCTGTATGTATTTATGTCTTTCTTGATGCATTTCTTTAGTCTCTGTTCTGTCTTTGCTCATGTCTTTGTTTGTTTATGTCTTTCTTTCTGAATTTATTTGTTTTGTGTTTCTTTGTCTCCTTGCTTCTTTGTTTTTTGTTTTTCGTTGTTTCTTTGTTTCTTTGGTTCTTGTGCTTGTTTGTTTTCGTGTTTCTTTGCTTCATTACTTCTTTGTTTCTTTGTTTCTTTGCTTCTTTGATTCTTTGTTTCTTGCTTGTTTGTTTGTGCTCTTGTTTGGGGCGGGATTGCGTGGTGATGGGGTCCGGGGATGTCACCAGGAACCGTGGCAGCAGCTTTCGCATGCGTCCGCAAGAATCTGCAAGCAGTCGAAAGATTTACGTTTCCACGAGGCGGAAGTAATTGCGAAAGCACATGGGGGTTTACGAAAACAGGGCACGCCTAGAATAGACCCCCAAATAATGGGATTCCATTATAATAGTACCCTTATTTCGGGAACCCCCACATCTTATCATCGTTTGGGCGCCGCTCGCAGAAGTGTCAGCAGTCACAGGATCGGATGTGTTGGGATCGCGATCCTCGCCAGCGTCAATCTGGATCAACTTCTCCACGCGTGTCGACAGTGCCATCAACTACCTGCTGGGTTCGCCCAATCCTCGCAACCGTCGTCACATGAGCACCTCGCATCATCTTCGTGTGTCATAAAGCCTGCACAACATAGCGCTGCCCTCTGCGCCCCCCATGCTAAAGTGCTCTTTGATGCAACGCCTCCCTATGAACAGTGGCTTGGTTTGCATATTTGTTTGAAGGGCCTGCCTGGCCTTGGTTTTGCCAGAACCCACAGCAAGACATCAACGTTAGACATGTGCGACGGCGGACTGTGCTTCAGCCTTCCCCTGTTTGCCTTTTGAGGATGTGGCGCAAGGTGCCCCACGGTGCCCCACAAGCTCTGGCCTGGACGTGCGGCTGCTTTTTCGCATCGGGATAGTCCTCACGCGACCGCAAGCAAGTGTCTCAGATGTGCGATATATGGCTTTGGGCATGCTTTCCTTAGGATCCTTGGTGAGACCCTTGGTGATCACAAACTTTTCCAAAGGCACCTCTCAGAGTGCTGGGGACAATCTGACAGACTATCGGGTGTGGGAGAGGTGCTCTCCGACCTTGGCATCATCCATCTTCTTAGCTTGTTCAGTCAGGAACTGATGCACCCACTCGATCGACCTCCAGTCTTGCTTGACAGCCATGCGCCACTGGAAAAAAAAGGAGAAAAAAAAAAACGCCTTGCTAACCGCCCAGCAGCATGACTGGGTAGGCCCCAGGCTCTTCTTTGTTCAACTTTGGATCGAGAATCTTTGTCAGAACAGCCTCAGCTGCAAGCTTGCAAAGTGCCGAAAGTTTTGGAGTAGCTCCATCTCCACTAAGAGTCACGCTTCTCCCATCTCTTTGGCCAAACAACACCAGTCCCGTCGCACGATGTCGAGGCCTCTACAGGGCATGGAGCATGAGCCACATGATGGCTGCCACACTTCCCTGGCGGGCCTTTGAACTCCTGCTCAAAGACCTGCTTCTCCCAGTTTACAACCTGCGCAGGGAGAACTGGCACGCCAAAAGCCCTGAACACAGGCGGCCTTATATGTATATTGTATATGTTTCTTTATTTATTTGTTTATGTATTCATTTATGGCCTTGAGGGCAGCATACTTCTTCTTCTTGAGTAGCATAAGACGCGCCTTGGTACATCGCCGTTGGCTTGCAAGGCAATGCAAGGCCCAATACAGCAGACCCACGGGGTCTCGTCGATATTAGTTAGTCAGAGCTAGTCCATCCTCACCTTGATTTAGGTCCGAGATAGCCCGAGTGAGATAGTCAGATAGTCCGTGTCCATGCGAAGGAACTGGGACACCATGGGTGCCGCTGCATGAACTCAACAAACAAAACAGAAAAAGCGAAATAACAAGAAGTGTAAGAACAACTCACAGACGAAGAAGCAAACACACACACACACACATACACACAGGCAAACACACACACACACACACTCACTCACTCACTCAATCACTCACTCACTGACCCACCCACTCACTCACTCGCTCACGAGCGACTGTGATGCTGGCAAACACAGCATCAATCTCGATTTCAAGTCGGCGGTACCTTGGACAGCATGTTACGCATCAGAGACGATGCTGCAAGGCGATATGTGCATGTGCAGGCAAAGTCTGATGCTGCTGTACTTCCACAAGTAAGTGGCCTCTTGTTGACCGCACGCTTGATCTGCTCAGCAACCTGCATCGCCTGCAGGGGAAGTTGCAGCTGTTCGATTCCGAGGCTGATTGCCAATAAATCCCGTGTCTGCAGACCTGCTGGAAATCAGCCGTTTTGGAGTTGACAAAGACTGAATCGGTGTCGCCGTACACCTTGCTTTCGTCGACATGAAAACTCTCGTGAACCAACACGAGCTTCCACTTTGTGAGGTATCCTCGGGCTCCCTCCACCTCCAATTGCAGCTCTTGCTGCACGACCTGCTCAAACATTGGCTTCTGACGGTCGGGGTCGAGTCGTGCTGCAAGAAGGGCCAAGATTCGGCGTCAAGTAAGGCGCAGACGGTCTTCGTGCTTTGCAGGGCTTCTCGTCCTTTGGCCGTGATGAGAGCCGCCAACGGCTTGGCCTGTGAGTTCTGGGGGTAGGTTTGAGACATCGCACCATGCGCTACACTGCCCAGCTAAAGCAGCTAAGGCTGATGCGTGAAATCGGCTGTTCTGAAAGCCAAGGCAGCCATACCTTAGGCTCATGCCCAAGCCCTACAGTCCCCCCCCCCCCCCCCCCCCCCCCAAAACCCCGCAAGGTCCGACAAGTGCCAGACATGGAGTTTGCTGTGAGCTTCAGTGCCTACTGCAGACATTTGGGTTTCTCGAAGGCCCCTCGGAGCGACCACATGTCGAAGCTACGCTACCACTTCAGCCTTCTGACGGATCTCCAACACCTGCAGAATCTTCGGATTCTTCTCCTGAGACAATCCCATGACATGCCAAGCATTCTGCACCTGCTCGAACTCCCAAAGCATCCGACCGACTTCATGCTCGCTTTCACCACCCGGCGGCTGTCCACAAGACGGCGCAGCACCTGTCACTGTGGAGCCACAGCGATCGCTGTTCTGATGTCTCAGCATCTAATGCCGAGAGGGTTTGGGGCTTCGGGCACTCCATGTGGGCACTGCTGTGAAGCCGACGCGCCTGTGGCAGAACACCTTCCTCCGCTGTTCCGTCTGGCTCGTGCGTCTGTGACAGCAGCTGTGCCTGAAGCATGCAAGTTCGAGACACAGTGCAGGCTGAACGTTTCTAAATGTCCAACTGCAATGCGCTGTTGAGACCCATGAGTCCTCGCTGGCCATGTTGGCAACCTCATTCTCGTCAGGTCGGTCCACTGTGGTAAAGCAAATGTTGTACTCCTTCGCATCCCCCGTAAACAGCAAGAGCTTTTCTGCTCAGCGCCAAGGAATCAACGGGGAAGCAACCACGAGCCTGGATGATGGAGGGGTACAAGCTGTTGAAGTCAAGAAGCATGACAAGATCGTCGTAGAGGCCAGCCTCTCGGGGAACAGCACTAAGAGCGTGGAGGTCGAAGCTGTGGACATAACGCTGCTAGGTAAAAAGCGTCTGTGTGAGTACAAGGAGCTGTTCATTTAGATTTAGACAGACTACAGGACTCTAGGGTCCAACACACTTAAGAGATGGGTCGAACTAGGCCCAAGGTCCAGATTGCCAACAAACCTGTCCAAAGCGCACATGCATCATCCGAAGACCGTCTGGGTACCTGTGTCGTGGTGTCTTTGTGTGGCGTCTTTTCTCTGAGGCTTTGGCGGCTCTGGCGAGTCTTTCGAGTGGTCTTTGAAGCCAATGCACATGGAACAACACAGGCACTGTGCTCTAGTGCAAAACAGAAGGCACATTGGAATATCATTGTGCCGGGAAATTTCAAAACCGTGAATTCCGCTGTACACTTCAGAAGCTAGTCGTCCACCTCGGCAACACAAACCATCTCGAGAGCACCCGCGAGCGCGGTAGCAAATCTCAGCGCCTCGCTCTAAACACGTGCCAGGAATGGTGGTGGTACGTCTCTCCCGGTCGTAGAACGGGACTTCGAAAGTGGCTGTGATGCACCTCCATTGCGCAGTTCATCTCAGCCCAGTTGGCCCCTCATCCTGCAGACTGAGGCACCCGCTCCATCAGGCCAAAGCTGCGGCTCCAGGCAGATTGCCCCAAACTGCTTCCACTCGCAGCCCTTGCTGCACAGACCACGACACGTTCGAGGCTTGAGGATCGCCCCGCTCTTTTACAAATCATTTATTGAATATAGTTCTTGCAAGAGCAAAAGGCACCAAACTTGAAACGTCTCGAGTGTGATGGTTATTGAAGCTCTGCCCCGCCTTCCCATGCCACCATGTGCCAGGACCTTCAGAGTTGTTGGCCACAACATACGAGGCATACTGAACACAAAGGAGAAAATCACGAGCAGGGCCTTTTCAAGAAGAACAATGCATCCCCAGCCTGTTGTGCCGATATTGCTGCCGGTGAAGACCTGACAACTCTGAGCCCGACACCGGGCATTCCGACAGTCCTTCTGTTGTCGAAGAGTCAAAGCATCAAACATGCAAAGAAAAAATGGCCTGCAAGCCCGGCTGGTCTGTCCAGACCTCCATGGTGACCTCCATGCAACTGTGAGAACTGGCTACGAGTATCAAACACAATTCGACAACCCTGGCCTTGTTCGGGCCAACCAACCGAGCAGCCATGACCTCACCACCATCTGGCTTGTCCAGGCCTCGCAGCAGTCGTGGCCCCCGGTATAGCTCAGTGACTCTCTCTCCTCCGCCATATGTGTAACTGTAGTCCGAGGATTCCGAGGTTGCCGCAATAGTTGCGATCTATCGGACCACCCACTTTAACAGCCTCGGGGCATGCTGGACAGCTCTGCTGGACGAATGTGAAACTTGTAGAGCTGCGGTCTTTCCCAGGAACCTCGTGAAGCAACCGCGGTTCTCGCCTCAATCAACTGCAATATGAGTCATGTGCATGCCTACACGCTCATTCGATTCCACAGCTCCCAGGGCATGAAGCGTTTCAAACCAAGGTACAAATCCAGGTGCGTCCCAGCAACTTCCGGCAGCTCACCTCTTTCCCCAAGCAGGCAGGAAGAAGGGATTCCACAGGGCAAGAAGCACAAGAACCAACAACACTCTAAAGCGCGCCTGTGATGGCAAGGCTTTCGTCAGTTGCCGTCGTCCGCGAGGCCGGAACCATCAAAGTGTGATCGAGCACGTCGCCGGCCTGGAGTCACGCATCACCCCGCTTCCCTCAGTGCAGGTAACCACCATCCCTCTCCAAAGTGCTCACACTACAACTCTCTCGACCATGTTGTCTCGTTTCTGTGAGGCTCCTGGTGGCCCTTTAGGTTCCAGTAGGCGTGGTTGGTCCTAAGACGCACATGAGCGTGAAAATGAGCGAGTTGCCTCTAGATTCATGATCTACAGGGGAGCTTGCATGCTCAGAAGTGTGGGCTTGTCCGTCACACCGCTGTAGCGAAAGTGCAGCTCGCCGCCACCTCCGAATTTCAACTAGGGATGCGAGTTGCACGGTGCCAATGAACCTGGGGCTCCTGCTCACTTCGTACGTGACGCTCACATCAACCTCGAGATATCTCCAGAAGTCTCGACATGTCCAAGAATCGCCCGGAATCTCCAGAATGCACGAAACATGTGCTTGCATGAGCTTGGGCCTTTCCCGGGTATCCCATGAAGCCGTCGGGCTCTGTTAGCACAAGCGTTGCCTGTCTGCGCAGCTCAGTAGGACCCAACAGGCCGAGGAGGGCTGTGCCAAAGCGATCATCAAAAGCCTGATTCTCTGACAAGCTGGTCACGTCGAAGACTTGGGCATAAAATCCCTTCGTACCTTGGAACTTCGAGTTCATGAGTCGACTGAGTCGACTGACAAGCATCAAGGACAAGCACCTCCGTGTAGATGGTGGCTGCCATTGTTCGTGTCCAACTTGAACTGCTGCCCATCCAACTCAAAAGTACCATTGGCAACGCGGTTTGCACCTGCCAACAACAACTGCCAAGCGCACTACGCTTTGATGATTTACATTGCACTGCGAACTGATGACTTCAAAACCACAGTTGCCACCAGCAAGGTCAGTCAAACTGTTGCATGCAACATTTGGAAAAGAGCTTCTCTCCAGCCCCAGAACTAGATCTCCGCTGCCACTTGAAGTGCGCATCATGGCTCGCACCATAAAACACGCCCGATGTTCCTGGCTACGAATGCCGTCGCTTCACGAAGGACAACTGTGATTTTGCCTAGTAGGCGTCAAGATCTCGTGATTCAGTCGCGCTTGAAACCGCCACCGCCAAGGATCCCTTCGTATCCCTTCAAAAATTCAGGAACGTGGGCACACGCTTGCCAGAAGTTTCATCCTCCACTAGTGGAAAAAGACCCCTCTAAGCACAGCACAACGGCCGACCACGGTGCCAAAATTCGGCTTGCCGCCATTCACGTATCCTTCAAGCATCTTCAAGCTGTCAAACAGAAGCACTGGGCAGCACACACACACACACACACACACACACCCGACTTGACAATGAGATGTTTTCCAGCCTGAACCTTGCACATCAACCCAGTAACAAGTGAACAAGAACTGCCAGAGCCACGTCATTGTTAAATCGCTCTTGGTATGCGTCAACATGTCGTTGGTGCATTTCGAGACGTGCCACCAATCCAGCGAAGCGTCTCTCGAGCGACTCGTATCCTGGCAGCTTTCAGGGTCCAGATGCTCAGAAGATACGTGCAAGACGGGCGCAGGCCTAAGGCCACGTCGATCCAAGCTCCCTTCACCTCGAGATGCCACCAAAGCAACTCGAAGGACGTCAGAGCACAAAGAGCGAAGCGAGAGTTAAGCAGTGCTGTTGTATCAAGTCGTATCAAGTTTGCTGTATAGGGTCTTGTCGGCCTGGAGACGCACAGCCACCAAAGCAGCTCCTAAGCTGCAAATGTCCACCTGGCCGTGTTTCCTACGCGGCTCGTCTTCAGTCTCAGATTGGCGAAACCACATTGTGTGAAGCGTCTCCTGCCTCCAGGAGCTCTGACTTGAGCGTGACGAGCTGGACGTCTTTGCCATCAACACTACCCCAGAGCATTCTTGCAGAGTCTAATTCGTGAGGGAATGAGCAGTGAACAGGGACCCAAGAGGTTTTGCAAGAGTGTGTTTGACGAATTCGTACTCATGCCAAAGCCTAGCTCGAGCCAACAGAAGTTGATGCAGCGGAATCCTCTTTAGCGTTTGGCCGTTTCCAGCTCTTCCAAACGTTCGAAAGGGAAGGCTGTTTTACTAAGCTACCACAACTTTATCACATCCCGGCCTGCGGCTCCAACACAAGGCCACCGCTGTAGGCCACCTTGCCCTTTCTGGAGCCCTGAGCCTGGGTCCAGTTTTTGCAATTTACACGAAACGCCCACTGGTTCACTGGCAGGCTTTGTCGGAATCGCCTGCGCTTCAGGCTCATCCGGATCGTCAAAGCCGGCCGAAATGCCGTGTCCGCCTGGAGTAGTGTCCACCCTTTCCATGGTCTACCCCAAAGAAACCGAAATGGGCACAGCCTTCGATCTGAATGCGGCGCTTCTTTTGTGCAAGGCTTTCTTTGTCAGGCCTGGGGCAGAAGTACTATTTTTGCTAAGCTGTTTGCGTCTTTACATTGGATTTCCATGCAACATATCCAGCCGTTGAGCAGGCTCACTTCAACCAAGCATCACATGCTAGAAATCACAGCATGTCCCGGCGTGAGAGCTTCACATAAGCTCAAGCTGCAGCAGATTGCAACATGTCTGGTGGTTCACTAACAGAGCAATTTCGGGTGTTGGGCAGCTTCACGCAAGCTCTGGGCACAATGACTTACAGTATCTGGCTGTTCGCGTAGCTTACGCAGCTTCCGAAGTTGTTTGAAGGTCCGGATGCCGTAGCTTCAAGATGACAGCGGTACTCAACCGCCCCAGCTGTTGTGTAAAGCACCGCCCTTAAATTTGGCGCGTGTTTCTGAATTCAATGTCGTGAAGCGATGGGGACATGTCTACATGCACGAATTGGCTTGTAGCATTTTGGTAAGAACTGTGTTTCGACGCATGTTTGGCTTGGCTGTATGCCTGCGGCATAGCAGAGGGGTTTGGGTGGGGGGGGAAGAAATTTGCAACAGCATTAGTCACGCTAGTGCATGCCGATGCAGACATGCCCGTTGTCATTGTTGCCGGGAGATGGTATTCGGAGACCAAGGGCCAGCAGGGCTTCAAGTCTTGCCAAGGACCAAATGTGCCACTAACGCTATAGGAAGAAACCATGGACCCTCAACCAGAAAGCTGTTCGTCGCGAGCCTGGACAACCATGCAAGATTAAATCACGTTGGGCTGATGAGACGCCCAGAGCTTGGGCTCGAACAATACAAACTTCTTGCCATGAAACCTTGCTGCAGCAAAAAGGAAAGGATTGATGCAGGTCAGTGTGTGTCGTTCATGACCAACCCCCAGAAGCCGTCAGCTCCGTACTCATGACACAGCAATAGCTCGTTCCGCTCAGCTCGCTTGTTCTGAAGCCTCAGCCGACTCCGTGTCCAGAAGCCACAAGGCCAAGAGCAACAGCCGTGCAGGGCAGAAAATGCAGAAAACATGATCAGACAAGCTATGCTATAAGCTCGCTGCGAGCCGTTCCACAAGTTGCCAGCCAAATTTGTGAGTTGCCGCGTGAGGGGCCTTTGCAGAGCAGTGAGCAATGCCCCAGCTAGTAGGTCGGCATGGGCGTTTTCATGGAAGTGAGATGGTAGAGTCTGGTAAAGATTTGCCGCACCGCAGCATCTGCATTGCGCATACTGCGAAGGAAGGCAGGACGTTGCCACCCTAGTTGCATTTAAGCACGCAGTGTCATCTTTGACGACACCAGTGCAGCCGATGGGAGCATGGAGTAGGCGGTTAAGTCAATGTTAATCACATGAGTCACATTATGACATAGAGATGCTCAGTTTGTACTCGTGTGCGACTCCATGAGCCCATGGACTCAGACATGAACGAGCAGCATGCTGTAGCCGATGCGGTAGCATGTAGACTAACGCAAACATCTTGTGTTGAGTTGCGGAGAGCGTTGCTTAGATTACGAAGTCGCTGAGAGTAGCCGCAATGGCACAGGGAGCCGCTTGACCTGGTGAGGTTACAGTCCGTCCTTTGTTCAGAACGTGATCGGCAGCTTCCTGGATGTGGGAGGGAAGCCTAAGCAGCGAAGGGACACGACATGAGAATAGCTCACATGCGCTGCAACCCGGCCGCCTAGTATGGCTGTGTGCGCAGGAATCTCCGGCGAATCCCACCTGGCAGACGTTGATCTTTCCTTTCCTGCACACTTATTGCACGACTTTAGAGCAGTCCAAGTCACACATCCAGGTGCTTGTACCCAGGTGAGTTGGCAAACTCTAGTTGCTTGCGTCTCGCCTTCGGCAGAGTGTGCACGAACAGGCTTGAGCATGCTTTTGCCAGGCCAGCTGTTGCGAAGGGGTTCTGTTAGCTGAACCAGCTGTGCAATTTTTAGTCTGGGCTCAGCCAGTTCGTGCGCTGATGCTACTGCACTCTCAACACACCTCAGCCAGTGCCTTCTTGGCTTGAATCTCCTTGATCTTTTCAGCTGCGCCCTTGGGGCTCTGCAGAGCATGCACAGCGTCCTTAATTCAGAATTGTCAGACACAGATCGCAGCATAGCGAGCTACAGCACCAGTGACACTGCCACCAGGAGGCTGCAAGCTGATCATCAAACTGGGTCCGGATAAACGCCTTGCGTCTGATAGCAGTCTACACAGTCGACATTCTTGCGCCCGAACCCTAAATTGCGGTCTGCTAGAAGTGGCACTTGCAACCAATGACATACGCCACACCACAATTATTTGACTGCTCTCCTTGCCATTCTTGTCTCAGGTTCTTGGATGCGCCGAGAAGCAACAAACTCTTCCTGATCAATCTTTCCACCTTGACTGTCCTTCGCCGGGTCGCGGGACAAACGTTTGTGGGAGCAGCATGCCTTTGGGCAGACTTGTAGTGAGGATCCAGAATTATGAACATGTCACTTCTGAAGAGCCACATCGACTTTGTCGAAGATCTTGTTGAGGTCCCCTTTCGCCCGGCTGACATCAGTGGCCTCCATGTAGCACCCACTTTGCATTGACAATGGCACGCGCTCATAGCTTCTCCGTCCTCTGGAATGCCGAACAATTCCACCATTGCCGGCGACGCCTTGTGCACTTTCCACGTTCCACGCTCTAAAACCGGATAATCACAAAAGCTAAACAGAGCAGAAGCCTCCTTTCTGGAGCTTCCCCGGCCTCAGCCATTGCCATGAACTCCTCGCGGTCCAACAGGTTGTCCACCTACAGCGGTGCACGATGCACTCTTGAAGGAAGAAGGAAAGCTCGTAACAAAAAGAACCAGACCGAAGGTTGCGCCGAGTAACGTTTTTATCCAACACATGAAACAGCTGTCCAACCTCGGCTTTGCATCCGCTTCTGTTCGGAAAGCTCGACTCTAGCTCTTCTAAGTGTTCTAAGTGTGGGTGCTTTCCTGCACACCAAGGCGGCAAGGGAGGCCAGCAGGTCATTGGAATTGGAAGCCGGAAAAGAGACGTGGAAGATGTGAATGATTGCGACTGCAGAATACTGCAACTCACGGAGAGCAGCTACTGCGTCGGCGGAATTCGCAGGGCACGATGAGCAAGCATGAGCAAGCCAAAACTTGGACCAAGCCACCTCCTGCTTTAAGCGACAAAGGGAGTCCTTAGCTCATGGAACTGTGGGGGCAAAACGCACAATTGCTTGAGTCTTTCTTTCCTTTTCTTCTTCTTCTTCTTACTATTCTTATTCTGCTTCTTCTGCTTCTTCTGCTTCTATCTTCTTCTGCTTCTTATTATTCTTCTTCATTTGTTTATTTTTAGTATTCTTCCTCTTCTTCTTCTTCTTATTCTTATTATTCCTCTTCTTCTTCTTCTTATTCTTCTTCTTCTTCTTCTTCTTCTTCTTCTTCTTCTTCTTCTTCTTCTTCTTCTTCTTCTTCTTCTTCTTCTTCTTCTTCTTCTTCTTCTCTTCTTCTTCTTCTTCTTCTTCTTCTTCTTCTTCTTCTTCTTCTTCTTCTTCTTCTTCTTCTTCTTCTTTCTTTTCTTCTTCTTCTAGGGCTTGAAGGACCCAAAGGCCCCCCCCCCCGCGCAGGCGCGCCCAGTGCACGCATCGCTCTCTCTCTCTCTCTCTCTCTCTCTCTCTCTCTCTCTCTCTCTCTCTCTCTCTCGCGCACGTCCAAGGTCTGTTGGTGACGCTGCCCCTCCCGTTTTGGGCGGGGTGCTTGGCTCATTGGCCTTACTGGATTTTCTGACCACAAACGTATACATGGCGGTTTTCCCCCGACTGTCCCTCCAAGTACTAGCATGTACTAGCAAACAGATGGGTTTGGGGTTCCGACACACATACTGCATAGATACTGGGGCCCGGGCCATACATACGGTACTATAGTACGATGTGTCTCCCCCCACTGTGCTCCCATCTTGATCTTACGTGTTAATCGCCTCTTGCTCCCTCATGCGTACGGCGTCTGCGTGTGTCGATGTCTGGTAGCTGGCGAGCACTGTCTCTCTTTCTCTCTCTCTTTCTTTCTTTCTTTCTGGCGGACATAGGGGCAAGCCAACGGGCGTCCGCGCCAGCCCCTGTATTCGGGGCCACTCCAGGAACGGGCTCTCTCTCTCTCTCTCTCACCCTCCCTCTCGCCCCGACTCTCTCCATCAAGCCGAAGAGGCAAGGTCAACTGCCTCCACCTGCTTGTTGGTGACCTGCCAAAATCTGCGAGCGCCAGGTTGAGGAGCCACAGCTTTTGATGGCCTGGAGGAGGATGTCCACATCCTCCAAGTTGTCCAAGTGCCCAACGGAGAAGATGCAGGTCCTCCCCCAGATTCCCCAGCCCCAAGCCCCACATGTTTTTTCTTACAAAACAGCTCTTTCTATAAATCGGGCAGCGCCATGGCCCTTGCGGCCTGGCGCGGACCTGTAATGACACGGGCGACCCCCGCGAGGCAAACTCGCCTTGTGAGGCTGGACCGACCCCGTGCCGTGGGTGAACGGTTTTTCTTGCGCAAAATGGGATAGCCCCGCACACCCCCCAAAGGTCCCCCAAAGAAGGCGCATCATGAGCATCAGCGGGTTCAGTCCAGAAGCCCCAAGTGCGCATCAGGAGCATTGGCGGCCCCAGTCCAGGATGTCGGGCACGCATCATGAGCATCAGCAGCTCCGGCCTTGGAGGACACGGCGGCCCACGCGTGCATAAGCTTTCCCTCTGTCGCCGAACCCGTGCGTTCCGACTATGAAAGCCTACAGCTGACCCCATCGTGAGGGAGCCCGCCGGGCGGGGGCGCGCGCCTGCGCAGCCCCCTTCCCGGCTTGCAGAACAAGTCTCCTCGAGCTTCTGCCTGCGCTGCCCGCCCATGGGCGCAGCCCCTCAAACCATACATTACATACATTATATATATATATATATATATATATATTTTTTTTTATTTATTTATTTATATTATATTGCATATTGCATATTGTATGGGCTCCTGGGGCTCCGCAGGTGCAATGACTCTCGCCTGCCGAGCAAGCGAGCAAGCGAGCGAGCAAGCGAGCGAGCGAGAGAGCGAGCGAGCGAGAGAGAGAGAGGGATCAGTGGTTCACATGAGAAGTTCAAAGGAAACCGTAACACCTCACGCCATTCTGCCCACTCAAGCCAAGCTGCGGCTTCTCCAAGCCGCGTAGGTCCACGAACTCGCGAAGGATCTCCTCGCGAAAGTCAAGGTTTGACTGCAACCCGCTGCAAGGACACTCGGAGAGGACGCGCTCCACAACACGTCTGGCAAAGACGTAGTCGAAATGCTCCAGAGGTTTGTGTAAGATCAGGACTTCCGGGTTCATGACCTCAAACGATGGTAGACTTGCCTTTCCCTTGGAACTCGGAGTACGACACATTTCCTGTCTTTGCTGTCCAAGTTACGAGGGCTCTTGCTAGGTGCAGAAGGCACCTCATCACAAGGCTACCCATGTCTGCATTGGCATCAAGTGCTGGGTTTCAGGCCTTGGGATGGTGTGGGGCAGCAAGGCACGACTCGAAGGAAAGTGCTCTCTGAAGCCCGGGTCACTTCTCCGTGAAGGGCAGGCTGTTTTCGTTGACCTGGTTCTTCTCCTGCGTCGACGTCAAGACTTCCGAAGACCACAGTCCCTGCAGGAACCCCCAAACAAAAAGGGTCATGGAACCCCCTCCAACTCTTGGAAAACCCCATGAGATTGGTCCTGCAGCTCCCGCAGGGCCGAGGACTGCGCGGAGCCCGCTGGAATCGGAGCGGCAGGCACACGCAGCTTGTCCGCCTGCCTGGCCTTCCTTAGACTCTGAGGCGTTTAGGGTTTAGGGTTTAGGGTTTAGGGTTTGGGTATTAGGGTTTAGGGTTTAGGGTTACCAAACTTCAAGAAAGGTTCCACACACCATGTGACCAAAACACAACTCGAAAGCAAACTGAGCGCCTGTCTTCACATCTCCCTGGCACATATGCAAAACATTGTCCGAGCCATGTTGCATTGCGCTTGGATGGCAAACTGTGTTTCTTTCACCATACGCAGCCAGCTTGCGACAGTGAGCTGGCAAATGGTACAGCGCATACATGTTGTCTTGTCTCATACAAAGACTGGCATTGAATCTTGTTTTTGTGCCTGTCTCTGAATGGAGTCGTCAATCAGCTTCATGGCATCCGAACTGAGACCCAGCCGCTTGCAGATGGCCAGCACCTGCAGGGCAGCAAGGATTCCAGGATTCCAAGCACTCCAGCATGAGGTTCCTCTGAGGTCGCGGCCCTTTCCGGCTCCTCATCCTGGCCTTCGATTCACAGAGATGCCGTCAGCAATCCAAAGAGGGGTGTAGGTCTGCTCAGGCGTTCACCATCTGAGGGGCCGAAGGTAAGGTTCTCAAAGAGTGTGATCTCGGGAAGCAACTGCCTCAGTACGGCCATGACATTTACTGAATCGACTGCGTCTTTGTACTCCTCCTGATTGCGACCGTGCTGCGGATCTTTGGACACATGGAGAACCCGCAGGTGTGGTGGCACAAACAGCTTGGTGTGGCCTCAGCATGCAAAAATTCGCCAGACCTGCTTGGGTGCTAAGCAGCACAGGACTGCACAACTGCAGCGTATCGCAGGCAAGGCTCCAGAAGGCAGCAGGATGCCAGCCAGCAGCTCCTCAAGGACCGTTCTTTGACTGCTCTCGCAAGATTGGTCTTCGTGTTCCAGAATATGCCCCCCCATGTGAGCTGCATCAACCTGCACTTTGTTGAACCTCTACATTTCTTACCACTACATTGTTTTGCATGGCACCTGCTGGCACGTCTCGTCAGATATCTTGCCTATCTTACAGCCGCAGCGCACACTGATCAAGACTCAACGTGTCCAGAAGTGTCTTCTTGCCGCATCCTTTTGGACCCGCCACAGCCACAAGATGACCTGTGCCAGTTGAAATGTCGGCTTCCTAAGAAAACGTCTGCTCAAGGGATGTCAAAGGTACGTTCAGAAGTGGCACACCCCATTACGTCCCAAAGAAAACACAAGCCGGCCTCTGTGCCTACGATTGCCTACGTAGCACTGGACTGCGTCCTAACTCTTGAGCTATTACGTCGGGAAGAGGGGGGAAGAAGAAGAAGCCTGGCCTGTTCGGGGAAAGACAACCTTCAGTCACAGATGAGCCCGCGACGGAGAGAAAGACAGTGCGAAACGTGCGAAACAGAGACCAAGTTGCAGGAAAGGGTCCGAAGAGTAAGGGAAACCGAGGTCTCAGCAACCAGGCCCAATTTCAAGCAAAAAGATCCTTGCGGCTTAGGAGTATACAGCAGCCAGCCTCGGCTTCTGAGCATTGCGTGATTCGTGCTTATCTGCACCACGATGTACTCCAACAAACACGGCAACACGTTCAAGCTTGGAAAGAAAATGAAGATCCCTGGATTTCATTCAACCTGTTTCAATCTTGATCCAGAGCCTTGCGGAATCGTGAAGCTGGCATTCCGTAGCAGGTCCATACCACCTGCCAAGGGCAGATCCCAAGCGCTCACCAGGCCGAGATCTATCTGATACAGTACTCCTGATACGTCCAGCATGTTGGAAAAATACACAAAAAAGTAACGTTCGGATGCCTCCTGTTCGCGGCGGATATGCGAAGTTGATGTTGTCTGCATAGATCCTCGACCCACGGGATCTGCCATCTTCCGTGACGAACGTAGTACAGCAAGAATAGACGCAACATCACAAGAACCTGAAAATGGCAATTTGATGTCAAGGTGCTGCACCAAATCCTGAGGGTACTTGGCAGCCACCTGCACAGGTGAGCTGCGCACAGGTGAATCAGGGGAACATGAAAGTGCAATGAGGCCTTCTCGCCATTCATCATGACGACACTGCTGTCTTCGACAAACGGCGAGTTTGCAGCAAGGTGGCCTTTGCAGCACTGTTCACAGACCACATGTGAAGCACATGATCTATCTTCTGGTACCAATCTGACGGGCGACAAACCAAAACCAATGTCAAAAGCGTGCATCACAAGTGAACTGCAGCGCGAAAGGGCTTGGCATGCTATGGATTTTGCAGCTCGCACTTTCAAGGCAAGGCACCAAATAGTTGATGATGTGCCTGCGGCACATGATTCCAAAGACTTGAGTGAATTCGTGGGTCAGCTATCATTGCAGGAGATGCAGAGGAGAGTCGTGGAAGCGATGGCAAAGCACAAGAGAGACATAGAGACGGCTGGCCATTGGCCATTGGCCTTCTTCTGCGCAGTCTTGCCGAACTCCTGCATCTCTCGCGTGATCTCCATCCGCTCGGTGGTGTCAACCGGAAGGTTCCTCAGAGCGGGACTCACGTGGGGGTGTTTAGCACCGTAGGATTGAGGCTTGACACAGTTCCTCAGACCTTCCCGCATGCGAGCGTCATGTAGTGGATGACATTCAAGAGCGGAGCCGCTGCCTTGCTTCAGGACCCGGCAGAACACGGCGAGAACAACAAGGAAGTCGGCTTCTTTTCCGCTTGAACATGAACCCGCCCCCGTCAAAGGAAAAGAAGAAAAGGCCTGTTGGATTTGCAGCATGTCCTGACGTCGAGAAGAAATCCACGCCGGCAAACACGCGGCAGACATGCCAGAGACGCAACAATGTTAGTGGCCTTGTATGCATTCTGATATGCCCCACCAATGCTGCGCCATACAGCTATAGAGGTCAGGAACTCGCCTCATCCCAACAAAGCTGCACAAAGCAGGAGAAACGTTAAGATGTTAGATTTTGGGCGTGGTCGATCTTCGCAAGGACGAGACCAATGGTGATTGTCTTGTCCACGACAGATGCATAGTGGAACGCAACCTGGATGCGCACACATGCGACGACTCTGCAGTTGCCATGTCAATTTGCCAGCCAAGTAACATAGATGGCGATGATAACAGTCGTCATGAAAGGTGCGAACTCCGAATTTGTGACCCTGGGCAGCTGCTGGCTCTGCATATGCGCAAGCTAGACATGTAGCACTGCTCATGTGTTATACAGCAGAGGCAACCACCAAACCGGCACCACCCTGGCCTGAACATAGTCGCGAGGGTGGTCGCTCTGTTGCATTCAGCAACCCTCCCGTTGAAGCCTTCAGGTACGGCCACAGCTAAAGGTGCACAAGCTCAAGTTGGGGCCGTGAAGCGGCATGATGTGCGTGCAACTGAAGCAAGGTCAAGCAACTGACCACCATTGTCGGGCGCTGAAAATAATCGGTAATCAATCGAGTGTGGTCCTTCACGTCAGCCACAGAGAAACAAAATCACACAAAAAACACGTGCTCGCTTGCTGGGCTGAAAGATGTTTGTGCTGACGAAGGTGCCGTCACTTGGTGCACCAAGATCAACATCTCAGTCTGCCTCTGAAAGACCAGCCGATCTCGGCCTTGACACGGAGGAGGCACAGGGAAGAAAAACTCTGCATGATCCCCAGACAACTCCCAGACATCTAAGCCCTGCGCGCTCAGTCTCAGGATGGCGAATGTAAATGAACATCCTCGCCGCAGCAGGCTTTTAGAGATCTAGGCTCGGTGTCATCACGGTATAGACTAGCCAGGGCTCAGCATCGCCAGAGGGATAAGGAAGAAGGCGGTGGGTGTCATGGCGGTCAAGTCGCTCTGCCTGAACTTTGGGGCACTCTGTGACCGAAGAACCATCTTCTCAGTCTTCACTTCCGCATCCTTCGCACCCTGTGCTGCCGGCAGACGCCACCATGAGCACTCCGAGAACGATGACCAAGCCCAAGTTCTCTACGAGCTCGAAGATCTAAGTTGTTGGCTGATTCTGACAGGTCCTCTTCTAGAAATTTCTAGAACTTCTAGCAGTTCTACCGCATCTTCCGCAAGAGCGATCTGAGCAAAAACAAGAGCAGTCCAAGCAAGGCACACCCATGAAGCCATGCTCCACGAGCTCAGGGACATCACGGGTTATGGCCATCGCCAAGTCTGAAGTCGACCTCACCAATTATGGAGGGTTCTGGAGCTCCCAAAGCTTCTCAAAACCTTTGCAACCCAGGAATCTGAGCTGAACACACGGAGTCACGAGAGTCTTCGTTGTAGTTCAGGAACTTCCTCGGCAACCCAGAGCACGCTGCTTCTCAGATCTCTTGCGGACCGCCCCAGCCCTAGCATTGCATCCGGTCCTCAGCAAGTTTCCTGCCAGCACTGTGGGTAGCTGAGAGTTTGACACTGTGGCTGCCTAAACGCACGAGCAGTCAGCATTCCACCTTGTAGCTGATTAACAACCTTGGCTGACTCAAGGTTTGAATACGGAATGAGGTGCTCAAATATGTTTAAGTCACGGCGACAGCTTTCAGGGCTGGAACTCTGTTAAGAAGTTCAGGAGACAGCCTGAGAAAAAAAAAAAAAAAAAAAAAAGGCGCTAGGTTGCCAAGATGCCATGCCCTGGATGCGCCGCTCAGCTTTCATTCGGTTCAGAACCAGCATCACCTTTTCAGCTTTGGCTTCGAAGCTCACGGAAAGCTCGCGGTTGCAAGGCATGCTCATGAACAAACAAACTGTGATGCAACCGTGCCGCAGCATGCGGCAGGAAGGAAAAAGCAATCGTGAGCCAAACCTCAGCCAAAGATGGGCGAAGTGAATAGGAAACCACACTCCTAGCCGCCCCCGAGCTACACCAAATGATCCCTTCCATGTAAGTTTCCATGTGTCCAGGCGACGCGCTCTTCTCTGCCTTTGGGCATGATGGGGTCCGTGAAGAAGGGCAAAGGCTCATCCGCCAGCACCTGGTCGATCAAGTACTTGGTCAACCTGGGGAACAAGCTCTTAATTGGTCCAAAATCTTACCATGAAGGCCCTTACCGTACTCGGAGCATGTCAGAAGCTTGCGGCTGCACCCGTTGTGCAAGCAAGTTGCATCACTTGCCAGAGGTACGCGAGGTTTCGCACCTGACCCCAAAGAGACATCTGTTGAGGGCCATTCACACTGCAGAAAACAGAAAGCGTCGCCCTCAGGGCCTGTGTGCTACGCAGTCATGGTTTTCAGGGTTTGGGCGTGATTCCGTATAGCTTCGCTATGCTCGCTCCAAGTCGAGCTAGCCAAAATGTAAGCCAAAACAAAATTAACGGTTGCAACGCAAGGCTCCGGGGAAGAAAACAAGGCCTGATCCGTGAGAAGGTTGTAAATAGCCGCCGTCCGAACCTTGCGGTCCTGGTCAGGACAGTCCCTGCCGAGACTGGTACACGGCAATACTCGGCAACGCAGCTAGTGCAACAGGAATATCAGCAGTTATTGATGAATTTCCCAATTGCCTTGAGGCTCATTCTGAGATACTCCGTCCACAAAACCTCGGCCCGAGCAGCAGATGATCCGAAAGTGTCCTAGCAAAATTACTGTCATCAGATGCACATCTTCGAAAAAGTAGAAACAATAGAACATTGGCTTGAAGTACTACAACATCGACTAAAGTTACTACGGCGCTGACGACGACAAAAACCTCAATGCAACCAAAACTTCCGGCCAGGAACAATTGGTTGGATCTCCGCGCCTCTCCCTTGACGCAACTTGTCAGCGTTCCTCAAAACAGCCGCTGAGGCTCATGAAAGGACTCAGACATTACAGCTTAGGGGTTAGGATTTAGGCATTAGCCCTCGCTCCTGTTGGTAGGAAACGTGTCATCATCCGCGACAGTAACTCTGCAAGTATGAAGGTAGTGGCCCAGCACAGCACCGCGAGGCCTGCACTGAGAAACGCTGCGAGCCATCTGCACTTTCCTATCTGCAACCACTGGCCCATGCCTGAGCAAGCGTACACCAAATTCCAGCGTGGCCTCGCAGATCACTTCGTCACGGCTCAAATGCGGCCGCACATTCAACATTCTGCCTCGAAGGAATCGTTTTCAATGAGGTTGATCTCGACTGTCACTGACATTTCCCCTGCCGGGCGCGACTACATCCAACGACAACAAAGGATCAGATTCACATACTGCATGTCCGTCTTCAGAAACCAATCCGTGACGCACATGCGAGTTTTCTCACAAGTGTTCCGACAGCAAAATCCACATAGCACGACTGCTGCACATACAAAATCTCGGCCGCTTCTTACTGCTTGTTGCAAGCCGAACACTGTAGCATGAAGACAAACTTGCCCAGAAATTAAGTCTTCAATATGGGCCATCAACAGCCTGAGCCAAAGCACTGCAGATCGCCCCCTTCCTGATGTTGAAGTTCAATGAAGAACAGACATATGAACATGGCAGCTTCGCACTGCAAAGCTCGGCATAGTTCGGCAATCACGAGCCCGGATCACAGCTTCTGAGCTGTCGTGACACTACATTCTTGGAGTTCCTGTTGTCCCGGAAGCTCTTGCGGAAGCTGTTGTACGCTTTCCGGAAGCGCGCGCTGCTCTCCGGTTTCCGATCGACATACCGACACATACTGTGACATGTACCGACACACCCCAGACTTGAACCCCCCAAAAGGGGATTCGAGGCTCAGAAGAGCCCTGCCCCTGCGGACCTGTCTAACTTCCGAGGTATATCTTCGAAGGCGAAGCTGGGGGTTTAGGGTTCAGGGTAGCAGGTAGGAAAATGCATGTATACTGGCACCGGTGATGCACAGCCGCCTGGCTCAAAAGCGATGGTGCCCTTGCGACCCACATACTTGACACCAGAAACTGCGGAGATGTCGAAAGTCTCATAATCCACCTGACTTGAAGTGGCAGGAGATTAAAATTAGCAAACGCAGAAATCTGCATCCGACACGACGTGGCACAGGTAAAACTGTGCCACGACAACAACTTTCAGACAATCAAGATGCATGACACTGGTTGTCGTCCTCACCAAGCCTCGATACCTGAACTGCCCACTTCAAGCTCTAGACATGTGTTCTCTGATGTGAACAATGCGAACATGGACAACCAGCCTCCACTTGAACTTTTCCTTCTGCTTCGCTGCAGTAATACACGGCGCTGGAAAACTGGATGATGTCCTTCAATTGGGCATGTCACTTCGTTCAAGACCCTTCGAAGTCATGTTACGCATTGTGGCCACACAGGCGGCCAGAGATGCAGGCCAACTGCGGCGAAGGCTCCGGATACTCCGTTGGCTGTAAGGATGTGGTCCTTCGTTTCAAGCTCAGAGCTCAAGCATTGCCGTTTTCTTTACGTTGGGGCACACACAAACAAAATGCAGAATTTATCAGAATTTGCTCGACTTGCTCTCAACTCTTAAATAAGGCTGCTGCGAGCGGTGAGCCATGGCAGAGGCTCCCGCCTACCATCCTTGCCATCCAGGGCCTGCTACTAACGGCCCCATTGGCCCCGTTTCTGAACCAAATGCTGCTGAAAAAGAAGACTCGCAGACACGGCGAACATGATATAACATGATTGTACAAGCACAAGCAGAAGCAGCACGGTTTCAAGCACCACATGGCTTCTGCGGGCCGCGCAGGATTTGCAGAGAATGCGTCAGCCGAGCTATGCAGAACGCATCGAGGATCTTGATCCGGAGCAGGTTCACCAGACTCCTGTCGACATCCCCATACTCAACGTTTCGCGTTGTCAGCTGTCAGCTTTGCACATGGCCCATCCTGGCAGAATCATAGTAATCCGGAATCGCTTCCGGTTCGACCTAAGTTCAGCAGTCTGAGAAAAGTCTGCTGAAGTTTACCGTCATTTCGCCCACGAGTACCGTACAACTTTCAGGCTTGAAACGCCCAACTGTTCCTTCGCAATATTGGCGAGGTCGTAGCCTCACGCATTTGCTGCGGGCACACCGTGACAAGGGATGCGCGTGTCAGAAACAGCTTTCGGCAAGAGTGCAGCTTTGGATGCCTCGTTCCCTAAAGTGTTCGTAGCGCCACGCTTGCTGGCTCAAGGTGTGCTTAACGGCTTGCCAAGTGCACTGCAATGACAGAGCCTCTTCCGCGAATCTTGCGTGCGCTTCCACTCCCGCGAGCTGGCCCCGATGCTGCGATGCTTCGCTGAAAAACAATGCAAAATTCTCCATGGCTAGATGAGAATATACTTCTTCCAGCTGATGAACTTCGACCCGGCTGATTCATACTCTTAGGCATGTCGGATCAAGTTTTTCAGTATCTGGGCATCTTCGGGTGGTAAACTGGAAAGCTAGTCCACGCACGGGCGCAGCCAGCAAAAAGCTCTCTGCCCACAAGGGCAGCGTCATGCTTGATCTTTCCAGCTCGGAACCCCCACGCGACAATTGCGCATGAACTAAACCCTCCAAGATGTTCAGTCAAGCCGAGGGGCAACCCAGCTTCGGCAACAGATCCCTCGACTGCAACGCCGTGTCACACACCTTGGGAGGTCCGAAGGCTCCATGCCGGGAAAGTTTGAAGGGCCCTGCACAGCTCTAAGAGCAGGTTGAGAGAAGATGAGATGCTCTGCTTCTAACCCCGAATCTCCGAAAGCAGGCACATCGAGTTCGAAGTCCCCCGAGAAAGCCTCAAGAACTTGAGGTGCTCATCTCAGACAGCGGCCAATCTTCCAGCTGCTAAGGTCGCTCCTGCCTGAAGTCTGCAGCAAGCACTGCGGGATCAGGTCATGCATCAATGCATCACGTCTAGATTCGATGCTCCTTTGAGCTGAGGAAGGCACCCAAAAGCCCTGGCCCTGGCGACCCTCTGCTCGCGGCACCCGGTCCTTGTGCCACAAGAACAGCTTTAGGCTTCAGTCAAGCTTAGGCTCACCAGGCGAACACTTGACAGGAACATGTCCTTCGAGCGACGCAACCGCCCGAGCCTGTGCCAGTGCTGCACTTTGAGCCTTCAGATACAGCATGCATTGCACATGCATTACGCAACGCATATTGCAATTTTTGGGGCGCGCCAAAGTAAGCTGAGACTTGCCAGGGGCATCTGGGTGCCCCGAGCTGGTGCAGCCGCGAACTTAGGACATCAAGATCGACGGAGTAGACGTTGTGGCCTGGCTCGTGGTCAAAAGAGAACACCTTGCAGAACCAAGGGCACCAGAGCACCCAACCTGCAATGACATCCGGATCGAACTCCTGCACCTGCACCCACTCATGAGCCCACGCACCAGCTTGCTGGTTCATTTTGAGAAACTCCACTAGGGCTAGCTAGCAGGGCCACAGCTAGCAGAGCTCACAATCCTCGAAATGGCAAACATTAGGGATGAGAGCTGACAGAGCTGAATCACACCGCAGAAATCGCAGAAATCGCACATCAGATCGTTGATCTGGCACTGGCAGAGGAGATCTGATGGACTGCTGAGCTCTGATGGACTGGCTTCTTTCAACAGCTCCGCCTTCAGCAAGAAGGCATTGAGCAGTGCAAGTTCATTGTTGCAGCTGTGGAAGCCGCCAGTAGCAAGTTCCTGCAAGAAACGCTCAGCAGATAACAGCACGCTCACCGCGACTCAACAAGAGTCATATGAATCTCATACAGTATTCAATCATATGCATGCACGCCCAACTTACGCAAGCTTCTTGAGCCTTCTCGGCATCGCGTGGGTATGGATTGGCACCCAAGCGCCGGATAGCTCCCCAAGTTCGCCGAGAATTCTGCAGGTCCGACTCGTTTGCAGAGGCATCGGGACTCACGGACGGATGCAAACTGCAGCCAATTGCAAGGACTTCATGTGACACTTGGGCACTCTGCTGGAACGTCTGCAGGCTCAAGCTGAGGACTCTCAACGGAGGGCTGGATGATGGCATGTGGGAGTTCCAGTGCGTTCTCTCCGCCTCTGTCTTGGGCAACTGAATAGAGGCCGGCGTGATGCGATACTCTGTGGCGCAGTGCGAAAGCTTTGCAGCTTCTTCTTTGAATGAACCCGGGCGAAGCCGGTACCAAGCAGGACCCATCAGACGTTTTGTCAATAAAAGCCGTTCAAGGAGACTGGTCTGGATGCCAAAGCTGTGCGTGAAGTTGTCACCACTTAGGCCAACTGGCGGCATGGCACCAGCCGCATCACACACAACTTTCAGGAAAGGCAGATTGCCCAAACCCTGCGAGAGCGGCTTCTCAAATGCATAGTTTCGATACTTCAGCTTGCACCGGAGAACCTTCATGCTCGGAATCTTCTCACTCCTGAGCCTCTCAAGCTCCTCCGTGGCTGCACTTGCTGCTGCCTTTGCCGATTCGGGCTCCGAAGGGTCCTCAACTTTCAGAAGCAAGTGAAAGCAACGTTCCAGCTTCTCCACCACGAGGCAGCAGCTGCGATACTCCGTATGGTTCGACTTGACCTGGACCTTGCCGAACAAGTAGACTCGGGGTGGGCTGGATCGCTCATCTTCGAAGGCATCGAGGAGGAAGAACCAGAGGCCACCCTCTGCATCCTTCACAGCTTCACAGTGGCCCTGATCCAGCAGATCGCTCCCGGTCTCCGGCACATCCACCTTGGCAGGCTGCATTTATCTCCAGGTGAGTAGGCCAAGCCCCAGGTGAGCTTCAAGATCTATGGCAAACTAGTAGTGTTCTGGTTGAAGGAGGTGCGCAGGTCAACTTCGAAAGGCTCCAACGAGCGCATGGGATTGCAGTATTGCAGTAGCACACACCTGCCGCTACACACAGACCTAGCTGCGTCCACCTGCTCGAAGCCCGCAGTCATGTCTGGTGCAGTGGTGTCCTCGGTCTGAGGCGTCTGAGCCTGAAGCATCACATGGATCTCGGCAAGGCGGGGCATCACTTCATGGCGGAGCAAAAGTGCCTCAGCCTCCATCGGCACCTGCATTGGCACATCCTTCGCTCAGTGGCAACATGCGGTGCACTCTTCAAGCAACTCGGGGCTCTGCACTCTGGGCACCTGTCCTTCATGTCCACAGAGAGAGATGCCTGTGTGGTGGTCTCGGCCGGCCTTTGCTCCGGGCCCTTGAGCTCCGTGAGCTCCTTTCAGGACATACACGTGATTGTACATATTCTACTCTCAACGCGCTTGCGCGAGTCACCTGATCCCGCATGGAGCGTTTGCTCGTCTGCTCATCGTGGAAGGCCTCTGCCTTGCGCTTGTGCCTTGGGGACACCATGTGACACCATACTGTGCAACTCTTTGACCAACAATCAATGAACCACTGCACGCGCTCGATGGCAAGTCTAGGACGGACTTGCTGTTGTGGACGACAGCTCGGCCTGCAGAACGCGACCAATACAAGAAGCAACTGGCATGGCTTGGTGCCCAACCTCAATTTCACCGCACATCTGCTCTAGCCTCAGAATGCGCTGGATGAAAGAAACCTGTGAAAGACTCTGTCTGGCTGTTGCTCCGCGGCCACTTTGGACACAACCGTTCTGCTTCGCACCCCTTCAATGGCGACTGAAGCGATGCGATCAAAACCTCTTGGCTTGAACTACAATGCCATTGCTAATATGCCTGGAATACAACCTCGCGTGTTCAACCCACTGCGCACCTTTTCAAGTCTGCAGCTGTAACCAAAACACGCATTCATTCGCATTGGATTCAAGGCCCGGAAAGGCTAAGGCCAAGTGTTCAGTCCTCATCTCATCGTCAGAACCTTCATCTCAGCGAGCCCAGTCTGCCCCCCTCACCTTGGCTCTGCGAGCTTGAAGACCACACAGCTCTACACTGGCTCTACAGAACATCTCTCTTTGTGCACTCTCCTTCTGTGCACTCTCCTTCTGATTGGAGGCGAGCCACGCAAACCCCACAGCGGTCCTCTGTCTCTCACGGGTTCACCGCGGTCGCGTGTTCACCTGAAACGAGTCTCTTCGCGTCCAGGATATGGCCAGTCAATCAACCAGCAGCATCCCGCGCATTCGAAAGAATAAGGCTGTGACAGCTGAGCAATCCTCACGAAGGGTCTGAATGGAGTCGTTGAGCAAGTAGAAAAGTCCGTGCCAGCATCGAATTTGAAATCGAGCCAGGATTGTCTTGCTGTAAGCTTGCGTTCCTCGTTTAGAGTGCAGAGTTCGAGCCTGCAACCCCGATGTTTTCATATTTGAGCCAGCACCCTGTATTGAGGGTGACCATTGCTGCCAAGCAGCTAGCCGTAGAATTTGACTTATAAAACTCAACCATCAGACCTGCTACGTGTTAGCGTTTATATTATGTCACGCTTCTAATCTTGTCGGCTGGCTCACTTAACTAATGACAAAGCACTGGTTGTGGGAACCAGCTTCACCTCACACCAGGCACTAGATTCACATGAGCAAAGCAAGCTGCAGCACAGCCAGTTTGTACAAGATCCTGGAAAGGATACATCGCGGGCAATCGCGCCCATTGCCCAGATACAACATGGCACTCGTGGCCTGTTGGCCAGTACTGGCCAAAGTGGGAAGTAGTAGTAGTAGTAGTAATCGACAAAAAACCAGCAGCACTTGAAGACTTCTTACTGTAACTCAGGGTGTCTCCCTGATCACATCTCTATTTCTATTATTTTTCTCATCCACATCCCACTCAAGAACTCACAGTCTTTGGTGTAGCCTTGTGAAAATGAAAGGCAAGGCCTTGGCCCCGAAGGCCTTGCCATCATACCCCCATTATTCAGTCAGACCTTCTTTTGGCTTCCCCTACGCAGATTTCTGCCAGCTTGACGTGGCAGTGCTGACAGCGCTACTGTTGAAGATGGGTTGCATGGATTGCCAAATCCTTGGAGAAGAAGCCCAGTCCACTGCCCAAAAAATCAAGAAGGCTCACAGCCGGAAGACGTAGCACCAGCTGACATGTGCGGCGAAGCTTCAGGAGCCAGCCTGTTCGATTTCATGTCTGAGCACAGATACTCCCTGCCGCAATATTATGGCTGCGCAATATGTTTCGAAGCATGTGGACGCATGTAGCTGCGAAATGCGGATGCCACGCAAAACCCTGCCTGTCTGCGAGTGACGGCAGCGCCAAGGCTGACATTGTACTTTCGGTGATGCTTGATACGTGCCTTAGAACTGTTTTGAGGGTTTTCCTGGAGCAAGTCCAACATCCCAGGCTGCGCAGTAACAGCAATTGCAGCAGATGACCTTTTGACATGTGCAGACAAGCATGCATGCATACATGTTGCCGCGTGGTTGGGCCGTGTTGCATGCAGCTCAGCATGGACGCGATCACATTCGCCACCTTAGATCGGCTGAGTAGACATGACATTAGGGGCAGACTAGGTGCAGATGGCTCATCACATGAACCCAAGCCAACACAAAAAGTCAGGAAACCGCTTAGGTCCTCCTCGCTGGATGAAGAGCTGTCGCAGCCTCGACTTACGAGCAACTGCGGAAGTCGATCAGCGCACCCCGTGCTATTGCTGCCAAGCGGCTTGCCAACACGGCTGCCGCCTGCCATCTTGAAGGGTCAGTCGGTTTCTAGTGTTGTGCCAAATTTGTGCACCAGAATTGTCTGGAGACACTCTTTCGTGGACGCAATCGCGAGCCTGCTGCACCGGATTTGTTTGCTGAGCTTGCTGCGCCCGAAACGCCTGCACAGATCTTGTACCGAATCTTTCTCATGTCACGTGACGACTCTGACTATGCATCCTCATAAAATCAGGACTACCCACTCAGTGCTGATGGTTAGTATTCACACCGTTCAATGCGAAATAAAAGACTCGGAGGCTGCCTCGAGTCGCTGCCTCAAGGAAGGCACTCCTTCCGACTCCTTCTGCAGCTCCTCAGGCTTTCAAGCGAGTCTCGCAGGTTTACCAAAATAGCCCCCCAAATGGCAGGATCCCCTGAAAATAAGGACCCTAATCAGGTAATTGATGTGTGAAAAGCCCGCACACGGATTGCAAGCAAATGAAAGTAAATGTACACTTCGGGGCGGCCTTGACCCAGCCGGCAGGCAGCGGTGCCTCGTGGCTCACATGTCTTCCCAGTGAACACATGCACCTAAGAAAAGCCCGTGATTCTCTGAGGCTAGGAGCAAGCTTCATCCGCGTCTTTGCTCTTTTGATCTTTCTTCTGGGTTATCCGCGTCTTGTGTCTGCTTTTGGGGGTTATCTGTGTCTCCTTCCCTCTCGGGACCTGGAGCTTGCCACAAAGCAAGCCTTTTATGGCTTTATCTTGGCTCAGCTTTTGTTGGGCTGCTGAGTCTTTCGGGTTTCCCGTTACAGGGTTTGAGGGCCTCCGCACCTCACGGTTAGCGTTAGGGATTCCAAGCCTCACTCTGTCTAGGCTCCTTTTTTAGGTTTTGGGACTTAGAGCTCCTTCTTCGGGTTGAGGCCACACCTCGGAACCAAAAACAATCCCATGCAAAAGAAAACAATAAAACAGGCCACGCGAAGAAGAACGACACAGACGACAGGTTGCCTGTCTTCCCATGTAGTCCAAGGAGCCAGCGGGGAGGAAAAACAAGACACAGATCACGCAGAAAAGAAGGCACAGGTGACACACATTCCAGGTGAACTCCGCGACACTCATGGTCGATGACTTGGCTGCCTCGGCCGCGCCTTGTGGCACCTGGCAAAGAAAACAAATCAAGCTGTCGTCAGCAGCGTGGTTGCTCTGTGTGTGTGTGTGCGCGTGCGCTTGCCGCCATTGAACCTTCGACGCTTGCTTGCCCTTGGCGGTCTTCGTACACACCGGCTTCTCCAGCTTCTCCTTATTGCGCTGGTGCTGGTGCGATTACAACTACCAGTAGTAGCTGTGAGAAAAGACAACGGATTCATGCAGCAATGGCTCCGGCGTGGTGGAGCTGGAACTGCCCCCCTCCTGGCCAAAGACTCACACAGTCAGGCATGTCAGGCAGAGCAACCGAATTGGGCGGTCCTTTGGGGTTGCTTTGCCACTACGACGTCCACGGCGCCTTCGTGACTTGACCTAAGTACATGAAATTCGGGGGTCATCGAATGGACCTGAGTGGCCATGGAATGCACAAATGTACCGAAGCCACCGGAGTGACCATCGGTGCCGTCTCAGCCGCCTGGGAGTGAGCCTGACGGGGCATCGTGGTTGCCTTTTTGGCTGACTGATTCGTGTGAAGGCGCAACACACCTGCTCAACAGTGCTTCAAAGGTCACCGAGATCTCTTTGGCAACCTTCGGACGCCACTCATGCCATTGAAAAGTAGGAGTCCTTTCGATTTGAAAGGCTCTTGGCTCTTGAACACGGTTGGATTGTGAAACTCTGCCACGATGCACACTATGCCAGAGCAGCAGATGCCAGGCCAGCCATAGCCGGAGAGAATGACGGCGGCCCTTTCATCATGATCGCTTGAACCGGATCCTGTGGCACTCGTCGATCCATGACAGAGCATGATGTCGATGGCCTCTCAGACGAAAGTGTCCCACACGACCTGATGCTCCTGGTGTCGTCACTGGGCAAGGATGCGGTCCGCACGAGTCTATGTCTTCGCTCCACGTCCGTATCCTTCCAAAGCTGCACCTGGTGCTTGTTCAAGCCCATGTGGCTCAGCAAATAGTCTCCCTGAGACTTTAGCTGCCGCTGCCCCTTGTTGAGGAGCCTAAGCCGCATATCGGCGAAAGGCTCCTGTCGCAAGATCTGGTCGTAGTGCTTTTGGCTCTGGAAAAGATCTTGGAACAGCGGTGGAGTGGGCTCGTCGGTAAGTCCCTTGCCACACCAACAATCCAGGGTTTGCAAGCCTCGTCTGCAGTTCGGACATGTCCACTCCGGTGGAGCATATGTCTTATGACGAGGCAAAAGCATGGCAGCTGTCAGCGACTACCTAATCTTCAGCACAGCAGACTACCGATTCACCGGCGAATGTGAAAACAAGGTTTGGCATCAGAATCGCTGCACGTTTTTGACATTTCTACATAGTGTCCAGCTACACATGTCTTACATGGTGTCTAGCTACATGTGAAGAGTCGTTGCCAAGTCGATCTGTTCGCTCTCACCATAAAGATGCCTGCATGTCTATTCCACAATGCCCATTTCGTTCAAAAGCCAAGCTGAACCTGAAACATCGAAAGATCCCTTCCACATGCAGCAAAGCACACGTACCAAATCTCAGCTGGAGCTCAACAAACGTGAGGGAAAGAGCGCCACGTTTGCAAAATCATCTCATCGCACCGCTTCAAGCAACTTACGTGCAGGCCTGACTTGTGGACTGCACCATGCTCGCGCTTTGCACGGCCCACAGCTGCGGCGGGAGCCTGGTTCCACAACCCCAATTGACAACCATAACACCCTGAAACCCTGAAGCCCCAAAACTCTAAGACCCTACATTTATGGGAGGGGCAACAAGCAAGACAAATTCTGCACCACAAGGGCCCACTAAATGCAGACAAAAAAGCGCAAGACCCATTGCGAAGCTCGCACCGAGGGCAGCAGCGAAGGATGCGATGGTGGGATTCAGAGGCATGCTGGCAGCTCCTGAAGAAGGAAAGGTTGTGTTTGCGTTGCAAAGACACTGCTAAGTTCGGGGGGAGGACACTCAAGAAAAAAAAGAGAGCAGAAGAACAGACTCCCAGCAACTCCCCAGAATGATCTCGGAAAAACACACGAAAAAGGACTGATTGTAAGATGATGGATCCATTGGTGTGGTTTTTGAAGTTCACTAGATCTTCTGATGCCTTCTGGAATCCTCGTACGATTCGCGTATGACTGTACTCTCCGTCCCGCCGCCGTACGATCGGCAAGTTCAGGACTCTTAAGTTCTCTGATTTTAGACTCGATCTGGGTAAAAAGTAAACATCAAAGCAGGGTTCGCTTGTCTGTGATCAGTATTAGGGAGTACTGACAATGTCATGCCGAGCATGGTCTTTGCATCCAGTTTTTGGTGCGGCTCTGCGTGCTCACAACGTGAGAACCAGACTCCGGCACAGCTCAAAGCACCACAACGTGACAACCATGCCAAGCCTTGTCGATGGTCTGGATATATTGCCTGGTTCAGCAATGGGGCAGCCATGGAGCCTGCCGGATCAGAGTTTGCAACGACACAAAAAAAGCAGCAACGACTAAAACCTGCTTCGTCTCGGAAAACTTAGGAAGCACAGGTGCCTGTGAGCATTTGCGGCGGCTGTTGTGGCCTCATTCGGCTTAAGGAAATGTCATGTTCTGAGTGTGCCGACCTTGGTGGGGCATGGGTAGGCTTAGCACATCTTTGCGCTGAGCTTTCAACCAAAACCTTCCGCTCGCATCATGAGGTGGGCCCCTTCCCCGCTCTTTCCCGGGCACCGTTCTAGGCAGTGGATGGCAGTGGTGTCAAAGAAGCAGCAGCAGCAGCTGCTGCTACTGCTGCTGTTCTTGGGCATGAACCGGAGGCTCTAAAACTTACTGCTGCAAGTTCTTACTCCCAACCCTCCAGGCGCGGCATGAGTCTGAGAGCAATGCGCTTCAGTCGGCTGGTACTTGGGAACCATTGCTTCCGAAGAACGAACCTGCTCAGCCACGCATGAAAGTATACCGTCATGCTGTTGCGACGTGATGGAGATCTTGAAGCATTAAGCACGATCCGCACACATGGTTGGGCGCACAACAACCGAATCTGCAGCGCATTGCAGCATGCGCTGCACCAGCGAAAGTGCCAGATCTAGCGAATTCTGGCCGAAAGTTGATTTTGACGAAAGCATCTCGGGGGCAAATCTCAGGTACCATGTTCCGTTGCTGCGGCTGCCGTGCAAAAAAGAGCCAGTTCAAAGGCCTGGTGAGGCTGCCCACATCTTCCTTCGGTGCCCACATCCAAGTCAGCAACGTGTTGAACCTCCGACAGTATTGGCAAAGTTTCAGTAGCAGCCATGAAGGCTGAAGCTTCTCCATACTAGCCTAACTTCTGCAAAGACTGAGACATACTGGACTCTCTGCGAGCCCCGGTCCTCGAGATCACCATCTGACTGACTTCTGCGCAGTACAATGGGCGATGTATCCTCCTGCTGTAACCCTTGTACAGCTCTCGCTTCATGATGGTAAAGGTAAAATGCGGGAGCAGACCACAAAAAAAACCCTACCCTGCGCAGTCTATGTTCTTTCGCAGATGCAGCTTGCCATTCTCGATCTTCAGGAGCATGGTCAAGTTTCAGGTCACGTGTGGCGGGCGGGAATGTTAGTGCTCAAGACCCCCTGTGCGGAGGTGTTAGGGCAGCAGAGCCTTGTAAGTGGCAACATCCACGAAACAATGAAGTCAGCGGCCCTCTCGCGGAGACACTTGGACGTGGCAAGTATGTCGCGGTAGCAGCATCGAAAGTGGTGGCGAGAACAGGCTAAGAGCCTTGTCGCTCACACTGAGAAACGACATGCGGACAACAGTGGCATGAGCGCATCTGATGCTGGAGCGCAAACATCAAGGTTCGAGGTTCACGTTGCAAACTGGCTTGCGTACATTGGTGCTACCAGCTTTGACATGCATGTCGGTGTACAAACAGGCATGTCTGACGTGAGCATCCCGGAGACGGGGGCTGCATGGGGCTGTGTGGACAGTCAGTGCAGCGACGGATGGATACGCTCAAGAAGTTGGGAACCTTTGGAGAAGCAAACATTGACGGTCAGGCGGCGTGTCCGCTTGCGTCATGACCAGTACTCAATCCCTGTGGGTGAGGGATGGCTTAGAGGCATGCCTGGGAATGGGTGGTGCAAGTGGGCTTCGACGATTTCACATCCGGAACAATGGCGTGTAAAGTTGTTGGTTTGAGGTGCTGAAGCAAGTAAATTTCAAGCCTAGCTTCGCTAGCTTTTGTTAAGAGGGACGGTGAAAGGAAAGCCCATGAAACTTCAACCGATCAGGCCTCGGGCGGTAGGTGTTTTGGGTGCAGAAAGCAGGTACCCACCTCCCCACCCCGGGCCAGCCCCCGGCCCGCTGGGCAGGCACCGGCCGAGGCGGGTCGCGTAGCGCCAAGATCAACCATGGACTGACCGGCGGCTTGCCTTTGTTACATTCATGGGCTGGTTTCCTTGCGACATTAAGACTCAGCCCCAGATCGATCATTAACGTAAGGACGTAAGGTAAACCAAGAGCCCGCAATACAGCATCGAAAAAGACCGTTGAAACGAGTCAAAAGAAGTGTGTGACATTGCGGCTTCTTCGCTCACCTAATCTTCTCCTCGCTCACGTCATCTTCTCATCGCTCCTTTCCTTCGTTCCATTTTAAACTGACTTGCAAGGAGATGCGGGAAGTCATTGAGTAGCCAACGAGCCGAGAAAGACGAGGAACTAAAACCCCATTAGATGCAGTACGAATTGGGTTTGTTTTTGCAATTCTCAGCAGCTCTTGTTGTGACTATTCTGGTTCCACCACGCACTACTATTCTCGTGTGTGCGCAACAATGTGGTTGTTAAACTGGGGCTTCTCGCGCATGAACTTTCAAAACCAGCAATGTCCTGCACCTCCACAAAGGTGTTCTTCACCTCATGCATATGAGCTTTCGCAGCACGTCTGTATTGCATTGGTTAAGCTCCCAGCAATGACTTTGTAGCTTGGGGCTTCCATTTGACCAGCCTTGAAAGCTCCTGCATCCAGAGAAGAGCCCAAAATAATCATGGAGAAACAGGAGGAAGGCAAGAGCCACCCACACCGCCCAACAGAAGCTAGGCCTCCCCTGGCATCTGTTCTTCCGGATATCTCAGCTCTTGTAGCCTGACCTGGCATCTCCACAGGTCCTTGCGCAGCTGTGCTGTTCGAAAATGCATACGTTGCACGAACGGAATCAACAACAAATGACAATCGCCAAGTGCATCTGCAGTCGTCCTGTGCATTCGCCGGTCTGACGTGCAAAGACATCATCTGGCCTCAGGCAAGCGAGCCACTTGCAGATTTCTTGTCCATGGGATACAAAACATACAGAACAGGCAAGACAACACAACATAGTCCTCTCTGAGAAGATGACAGCGCGCCACAGGAGCGCGATCGTTGCTTGGCGGCATCTTGGCTTGGAGACGTCGGAGAGGACTCGGCCTCGAAAGCCTGATCACTTCGCCAGTCGCCCAATCGCTCCGACTGGCTTGCTCGCTGCTGGCCTCCAGGAAGGTGTTCTTAACAGATGTGCGCACCGTCCTTGGATCATGGACGTGGCTTCAGACCACACGGAACCTGTCTGCTAGAAAGATGCGAAATATCTTTCCAAACATGCGGTCCAAGACTCATCTCACCCACGATGGCCACAAGCAGAATGCCAAACCAGCGATCTTGATAATATAAGAGTCTGAGAATATTTATATGTTCGGCTGGATGACTGAGTACTGAATGCAATTTCCGTCGACCTGCTACATCAACTTGGTGACATATGGGGTGCAATGTTTGTGCTCTGCGCCACAAAAGCTTCAGAAGCGAATCCCACCCCTGCAAAGTCACAGCCGAGTACAAACAAACTTCAAGGGCCACGCAAAGCATCCACTGCTTTCTCCTGCTCCTTCCAAGGAAATTTGATTGGATGAGGGTCGGCTGTTACGGTATCTTGATGGTTCGCTTTATATGGGTGAAGTTGACCGTCTTAGAGGCATGAATAGTACGGTTGTTCACGTCTTTCCCGGAAATGTTAGTGGGAATACCATGTGATCTAAGCCTCAAGCGTTCATGAGGGTCGGCTGTGCACATGCAACGAGCAAGATCAAGTGATTATGAAGATTCTGAGGGGGGGCCGCAAAATCATCAGCTTGAAGATTAGGCGTGCGCCTTCTTGGATGCAGGTGGACGTACTTCTGGAGGTCCACTGGCCTGTGAGCAAGGTAATGGGGGCCACTGAGATCACCACCACTGAGCGATGCTAAGTCCGGAACTCCTTTCTGAAGTGCCCCTAAAAGAGCCTGAGAAGTCGGTTCGTTGCATGTTCCTTCCCAAAGTACCGGTCTGTTAAGTTGCTCGCGTCATCCGTATTCATCAAACTGAGACTCGGGCTCCACGACCAGCTGGAGCTTGTGGTGGAACGGGAGTTTCCTGTGAAAGCGTTGGCTATGTTGCATTGTGTGTAATCTGCACTGTGGGGACGGGACACGTGCCCTTCTCCACGACTCACGCCGGCATTGCGCCTTCACTTTCGTTTTTTTGCCAAGCTCAACTCCCAGCTCCTTCAGATGGCGCCTGCAGCAAATCATACTCCAACTACTCCAACCCGGAAACGATGCCCTCACACGCAAACCATTCGCCGAACCTTTCTATTTCATCCTCGCGGGCACGCTCCCGCGCCTCAGCATGGACGTTCATTGACAACATGTGTACAGGATACAGCGACAGCCGTTCCAAAGCAGCTTTCGCAGCTATACGGCGACATTGAGCTCAACTCCGCCGCAGCTCCTTGCCACAATTCTTTACCGCCTGAGCATACACACCATTATCTGCACCTTTTGCATGCACATACATCAGAGGCTCGCGCCATCCACATAACCCGAGTCTGTCCCAACAACCTCAACTGACACCAACCGAATCAGGCGTTGAATGTGAAACGCTGAGCGCGATGATAAGTTTGATGATTGCACCGATGCGAGGAACAATAACTGTGACGTTGGTGCAAGTTCCCTTATTTGAACGGCTTCTCAACAGTCCCCGAGGTGTGAGCCCATTCGCTCGTTCTCTCTGAAACAATTGTTTGGTACTCCTCTTCTGAAACCTGCCAAAACGGGAGCAAAAATTCCTGATTTTGCAGTTGCAACAACAAACAATCGAGCTATAAAAAGGCATGGCAAGGAATGTAGCCACAACCATGCCTTGCCTCGTGGATGATCTTCTTGGCTTCCTGTTGAAACTAAAACTGGCAATCTGGTCTGTCGCAAGCTGCGCATGATATGGTTCTCTCCAAGAGTCCGATGCATGACAGTATCTAGTTTCCACCATATCATGCAAAGAGCAATGCAGCCCGTCCGGAACGACATACTGGTCAAGACTGGACAAGCCGGAACCTGGCATCCAAAATACATTACATATGTGCATGGCTGGGTCATGCCATCGAGGTCCCCGCGTGCTGCTCGCATTCTGTCCAAAGCCTCCTTTCTTTGCGCCGCCATGCCTCGTCATCGAAAAACTCACATTACAATGCACCACAATGAAAGACATGCCATGACTCCAGCGACTTGGCCCACGGCTGCTCGTGGCAACAATCCAGCAATTTAGCCCCAAAGAATGCACGCCGAAGCTTAACACGTGTTTGCGTCATCATTGTTGTTGACAGATGCAAGATCCCAACTGTCCGTTCTTGTCATGAATTGTGGAACAATACTTGAACAAAAGCCGCACATTCAGGAACAGGGCGTCAAGTTGCGGAAACATAGTTCATGGTAGTGCCGCCATTCTGTATCGTCTGTCATGAACATACTTGAGTGGACAAACAAATGGATGGGAATCAACCTGTGCGCAGCCACTGCCTCTCTTCCCCGCCCAACACCCCAGGTCTTGCTGCTCAATGAAATTCCAAGAGCAGGAATCTCGCTGTGAGGTCCGAGTCGGAGTGCCACATGCATGGCTGTGGCAAGATGAGGGGCCATGTCAAGATTCGGGACAAACCGGAACCTTTCCACATCCCAAGCAATCCCAAGCACTGCATGATGCAAACCTACACACTCAAATACGAAGCCCAAAACCCCGCTCGGGCCCACATTTTCACTCGCAACTATCGGGTTCAACAATGTGTGCTGCCAACGAAATTTTGAGGGACGGAGCAGGGACGGGCGTCCCAGTTCGAAGCAAGTACAGGGCCCACAAGACAAAGGGAAGGATTCAATTGCAGGACATTATGGTGACGAAGGCTGGAAACGGCAAACTCTGACAGGTCTTATGGCCGGGGTTTCAGAAGCATGGGCGAAATTCTAGAGACCCCCACTGCAACCACAGTTCTGAAGTACGACCAGCTACATGTGCAGGGCTGCTTGAGGGTGACGCTGGCCTCAACATGTCACCAACG